AGACAACCCAAGCAAAAACTTGATTTTTATTAGAAATCCGAATCAAAACTTGTTGTCAAAGAAAGCCCTCTTTTATTAGAGACTCTGAATGCGATTGTAGGAGCCAAAAGCAAGAACCTAAGAAGCAAAACTCAATGGCGACTGTGGGTATCGAGAGGAAGCAACCGGCATCGGCAGAAGAGATATGCACGGCCAAGAGCGGCGCCAAGCAAGGGGAAGGCCTCCGGCAATACTATCTCCAACACATCCACGAGAAACAGCTCAATCACCGCCAAAAAACCCACAATCTCAACCGTCTCGAAGCCCAACGCAATGAGCTCAATTCTCGAGGTCCTTTAACCCTAATCTTGTTTTTCTTACCTCGATTTATTGTATTAATTTCCTTTTTTCTGTTTTCAATTTTTGGGTTGATTGAGATTGTCGATCTGGGATTAGGGCTTTTGTTATTTTTAGAGAAAGTCGTTAGTTGTTACCTTGGTGTTTTGATCTGTGAGAAAATAGTGATATTTAGTTGAACAAAGTTTACTAAGATTTGAGGAAGATTATTGGTTTAGTAATTTGTAGAGGTTAAGTTGGTGATTACATTTGCTGGTTACTTTGGGAATTGGGTTGCGTTAGTTGATAAAAAAAAGTGAAACAAGGATTATACTGATCATGGAGGTTTTGTTTGACCTTCTTTAATTTCTGACACAACTTTTTTGTTGATGCAATGGAAGTAAATTGGAAATTTTATTACATATTCTAATTCAACACCACTTGGAAAAGTCTTAACTGAAACTCAAATAGAGGTTATGCAAACATCGGTTGAATTTTGAAGTTCTCAATTTTTTGCAAGTAAAAAGTGTAGCCAGATGTCATCATTTGATATTGTCAATAAAATGCGCATTGATAAATGCTTATCTTTTTCTGTATGGTTGGAAATTATGTGCGATTGAAATGGAATGGTCATATTGGTGACTGTCAATGCTATGTAATAATCTTCTCTTTTTATTGCCATTTACTCTGTCGTTCACCTTTTATGTATTTTTTTATTGGAAGGGGAGATGGGTTTATTCAAACATCATTGTATTTTTACTTGGGTATTGCATCCAATACATCTGATGAAATTGTGCCCATGGTTATCGTGCCTTCTATTTGTGATAGCCTTAACTTGGAAACAGATGCACATATGGAGCTTTTATATTTAGGGAAGAAGTTTTTTTTTTTTTTTATAGAATGTTATCTTTATTTTTGGTGCATTCATTCTTTTAGTCTATTTCTTGTGTAAGTACTTATTATGTTTGCATATTGGACAGTGAGAATGCTTAGAGAGGAACTACAGCTGCTTCAGGAGCCTGGTTCCTATGTTGGTGAGGTTGTGAAAGTTATGGGTAAAAACAAAGTTTTAGTCAAGGTATGTGATCCTTTTATACTTAGTTTGTAGCTCTCTCTTTGACTTTACAAATGGTAATAACATCTTGTTACTGACTAAAAATTTGGAATCAACATAAGCTATTTAAAACTGTAGATAATTGTTTCTTAATCTGCAATTCATGGTGTCATTTATGGAGTGTGTGTTTCAATCTTACTCTGCTATTATTTTGTAATTTCTTCTCCAGGTTCATCCAGAAGGAAAATATGTTGTCGATATTGATAAGAATATTGATATCACAAAAATCACACCATCAACAAGAGTTGCTCTTCGTAATGACAGCTATGTTCTCCATCTGGTCTTACCAAGCAAAGTAGATCCATTGGTTAATCTTATGAAAGTTGAAAAAGTTCCAGATTCCACATATGACATGATTGGTGGTCTTGACCAACAAATTAAAGAGATAAAAGAGGTTTCTCTCGCACTTTCTTAATTATGGCTTATCACTTTTGGGTTTTTCCTTTTTCTTTTATGGTTCTCCATTATTAATCCCATGTTTGGTCGTGGATCAGTTTTATTCTTTACACCTGCTATGTGGTATAATTTGCAGGTAATAGAACTTCCAATTAAGCATCCTGAATTGTTTGAAAGTCTTGGAATAGCTCAGCCAAAGGTACTGTCATGTTACCAAGTCCTAGCATTTTGTTGATTTGTTTCTCATATGATTACATTGTAAGACTAAATCTTGCTCTCTGCCATAAATTATAGGGCGTCCTGCTGTATGGACCACCTGGTACAGGGAAAACTCTATTGGCTAGAGCTGTGGCCCATCATACTGATTGTACTTTTATCAGGGTTTCTGGATCTGAATTAGTTCAGAAATACATTGGAGAGGGCTCTCGAATGGTTAGAGAACTTTTCGTTATGGCCAGGTTTATTCTTCTTCCTTGCTTGTTGTCCTTAATTAAAAAAAAAAAAAATACAAATGCAGAGCAAAACATGTTAGATATACTAGCAAGGTGCCAACATACAAATTTGATTTCAAAGCCCTTTTGTTTTTGAGTGTGATGAAGAAAAGAATCTTTTTTTTTTTTATATGTGGATGGTCACTTGTTATCTGGAATTAGTCAATAGCCAATAGCCAATAGCCAGATCCTCTGTAGCCTGAAACACAAAGTAGAGCTGATTTTGTCTGATTATCTACCATGCTGTTGTACTTTGGCTTTATATCTCTCATTTTACTTAAGTGGTTCCTTCTCCTTCTCCCATCTCCAGGGAGCATGCTCCATCGATCATATTTATGGATGAGATAGACAGTATTGGATCTGCTCGAATGGAATCTGGAAGTGGCAATGGTGACAGTGAGGTTCAGAGGACCATGTTGGAGCTTCTCAACCAGCTTGATGGATTTGAAGCATCTAACAAGATCAAGGTATTGATTACTTAACAGAAATACAAATGTGATGAATTAGGGAGACCATTTTATGGTTTGCATACAGTTATTTTTATGCATCCTTACTTTGATGCATTTGTCAACAGGTTCTGATGGCTACAAATCGGATCGATATCTTGGATCAAGCTCTTCTTAGGCCAGGACGAATTGACAGGAAGATTGAATTCCCAAATCCGAATGAGGAGGTACATGGCATTTAGTGGTCATTGTTATGTTCCTGCAAGCATTTTAGTGCTGTTGTCCTTTTTCATGTTAGGGGCATATAATGTGACTCCCTAATTGTCACCTTGTTCTTATACATGTTTGAAGAAGAAAAGGTATGCAGGGGGTTGTATTTGAACTGACATAACCGCACCATCATGAATTTATTTTCTTGATTATGCATCATTGATTTTGTTATGTGTCAAGGTTCAGTGCCTATTAAACTTTATTCTGGCGGAATGATTTTCGTGTTGTGGTATTTAGTGATTCCTGACATATATGATTTGTGAATCTTTTATTATGCTGTTGCTGTTGTAATGCACTGCCACTATCCTAGAGAAGGTTCTGTCATTTTAGACTTCATTATAAAGGCAAACATTTTCAGTAAGGTAGTTGGTCAGGTTATTTTGCCGTTGTGATCAACCCTTTTTGGGTTTTGTGAAGAACCTGCAGTTAATAGAGCAATCATAATGGCAGTGTTTTGCTGCTGCAGTTGTATAAGAATTTCTCTGTTTTTAGAGAGCATGCAGTGAGATGCTACATAGGTACTTATGTTGTCTTACTCAATTGTATGCAGTCTCGTCTGGACATCTTGAAAATACATTCTAGAAGAATGAATTTGATGCGGGGGATTGATCTAAAGAAGATTGCAGAGAAGATGAACGGTGCTTCTGGTGCAGAGCTTAAGGTATGTTTGCAGATAATTAATTAAATAGGGTCTGGGTTCTGGATAAAGAGAAAATATTCTTCCAATTGGAATATGGTATGCAAGCTGTGAAGAGCATCTCTCTTTCTAGATCCTTCCCCTTCCCCCTTTCTCCCAGCCTCCTAAGCAAATGAGGAGAGATGAATATTTGAAGATTGTTATGTTTCTAGGTTTGTTAGTTTTATGAAATCTATTTTCTCTCGTGTTTCAAGGTTGTATAACAATGCGGTAGAAGCCTTGGATGGCACTCATAATTATGCTTTTAACATAAAAAAAAAAGAAAAGAAAATACAAGATTCTTAGACCCAGTCGGGCTTTTTGACAATAATTGCATGGGTATTTTCTGCACAATTTGATAGCTGGATATGTATGCTGAGGTCATTCTGACAACATCTACAAGGTTTATGATGATTGTTAACAAATGTAATAAACTTGTTGAAATGTTTTTTGTTGGATAATTTAAATGCTGCTTTTGCAAGACCATATGCTTTTCATTTATAAAATGTGTATTATCAATGTAGTGTATAACTCCTTTATTTTTTTTGCAGGCGGTATGCACAGAAGCAGGGATGTTTGCTTTGAGGGAAAGGAGAGTTCATGTAACACAAGAAGATTTTGAGATGGCAGTTGCAAAGGTGATGAAGAAGGAGACTGAGAAAAACATGTCCTTACGGAAGCTGTGGAAGTGATTAAGTTTTGCTTATTGTGCTCTTTGCGTTTTGGGCAAAATGGAACATGTAAACCAGATTTATATAATGACAATGTATCCAATATTAGCGCAATAACCACTTTGCCAGGATGTCTTTCAAATTTGCAAGTAGAGGACTTAAAATCTATGAAGAACTTGGTTTGTCTTGCACAATTCTGAATGCATGAAGCGGCAGATTTATACGAAAATTTTATTATGAAATTTAACTGGAATCTGTGTCTCATTTTTAAATTTGATTTTAGTGTTAAATATATTAATATGGCTTAATAGAGAATCAAAGGATGTGGGGAACCGGGGTAGTTAAACTGGGAAACGTTCAACATTGTAGATGTGATTGATAATATTTATCATTATAAGGAGAGCCGTCTGAAGATAGAAAATTCTGAAGATTTCGTCGGCCAACCACAATAAAAATTGAATGCCGAGAAAGTTGGTATTCGAACATTAAGATATAGATTAATTTTCGTCAAAAGAAGCATCAGTGGTCCTGAATCTTTGATTTGGAGCTTCTTTAGTTTAGACATCATAGCATAGGTGATCGAGTGTTCGTTATATTTTGAGCACTTTTTAACTTTGCTCCGAGTCATCAATTCCATGGGTCATGTTCTTTGCTCTTTTTGCTTATCATAAAAAGGAACAAGAAAAATCAGATACGGTCAAAACCCATCATCCAAAATTTGCCTGGACAAATAAAGTTGCAGCATGAGTCAAAACCCACCAACCAAATTAAATTCTTAAGGCAACTGTACTAATTATTTAAACATCAAAAGTCAAACCAATTGTTATTACATCTATATCGTATAAGATGAACTTCTAATTGTTAGTTGTTAGAGATATGATAATAATATAACATAAATGACTCTCAACCTGCTGTTGGATGGTGGTTGTTGGTTGTTGCCCATTTTGCAACTCAGCTGCCCGTAGACAGCAGTTGCTCTTTCACATTCCGTGTTAAGTTGCTAGTAATATTTGACAATTCTAGCCCATCATATAACCCTGCAAAGCACAGCAGTAGTCTTCCTGTTGAGTTAAAGGGAAATTATATTATACACAAAATCTTTTTTTTTTTTTTTGTTTGCTTCCATATCCCTGTTTATTTATTTTCTTTGCAAATATGCAGATCAAGAAACGGCCACTCCTTCAACTTCTGTCATATCTCTTTATTCTTTCACAGCTTTTCCTTTTCTCCTATGCTGATGTAGGCACTGCTGCCCAGTACAGCCCCCCATATTTACGTGAGTACCTTTACATCCTTACTATCTTGAAAATTCTACTTCATCTTTCAACGTTTTCACTCCGACTTTCTTTTTGTTTACTATTTTCCTTTGTGGAATGGGATTTAATTATTTATGAGCAGCGACGGCGTGCTATGGTGATGATCAATCCCACTTTCCATCAAGCAATTTGTTCGCAGCAGCCGGAGATGGGATATGGGACAACGGAGCATCATGCGGAAGGCAATACCTGGTGAGATGCATCAGTGCTTCCCAGCCTGGAACTTGTGTTACTGACCAGACTGTCCAGGTCAAGATTGTTGATTATGCTCCTACTGCACAGTCTCCGCCTTCAGCTCAAACCGCCACCATTGTCCTATCCGAGACAGCTTTTGCTGGAATTACGAATAAACCAGTTGGCTCCATCAACATAGAATTCCAACAGTAATTTGATCTTCTTCCAAGATCTTATATTTGCTCATTAATTGTTAACTTCCTTTCCTTTTCCCCCATTTTGGAAGTTCAAAGTTTCCTTGCTTCTTTTCATCATGCAGGGTATGAGACGAGGTCAAAATCTGTTCTTAGTTCCATTGGTCAAAGCTCAGTCATTGACAATCTCAAGTACAATTGGATATGGCCCCTGCGTTCAAGGCAAGGGAAGGAACACAAGAAACAGAAGACTTGTAATCTGCAAATCATGCATGTAATGTACAATATTTTGTTCCTGGAATGTTTAGACGGAAATGTGATTGGTTGCGTGAGATTCTTTCTTTGTCATTTTCATTAGTAAACCTCTATGTCAAATGTTTGTATTCATTTTGATAATAAAAAGGGAGCTTTCTCACAATTCGCTATCATGGCGCTTTTGCGTGTGCTTCTTGCCTTTGGAAGCTTCCGCATTTCAACTTGACACTTTCGGCGTAGACTTTACCTCAAAACCTTCACGCCAGGCTGAAGCAATGCTCATATTTTAAAAATACAACGATGTGAACACGTTATCTTCTTTTTCTTTACCGGTACATACTAAAACCGGAGGAAACAACAATCTTAACGCTAAAAAAGACAAAGTAAATTTCGAAAATTACAAACTACAAACTAATGCATGCATGGAGTCACATCTGGAGCCCAAGGAGCATACTAAAAGGAATCATACATACATCTTCGTCACCAATTAGAACTCAAAAATCTAAACTATTGAGTTATTAAGTCTTATATATATATATATTGATATACATGCTAACTTTTCATCGTATTTTTTAATGATATGAGATTTTTTTACATACTTAAACCACTTCAACATGGGACAAATTTATAAAAAAGAAAAAAAAATTTCTTCTAAATGAAATTATAATATTAAGGCTTTGTTTTGTGGTTTTTTTTTTTTTTTTTAATCTAAATCTATCAATTATTGCAATTAAAAATCTAACACTCAATCAATAAACCACATAATTATTAATGCTTTGTTATTAATACATTTCCCGTCCAAAGAACACACCCACTCTACTTAAGCACGAGATTTTGCTTAAAAGGTTAAGGGTCAAATACAACCAAAGGTACATATTAACTCTCTCAATTTTAAACTGCTAAGAGTTTTAAATATTTTTATTGTGAAAAAAATAAGAAAAATAAAATAAAATACTTGATTCAATAAAAAGGATTACTTAAAAAAAAACATAGGTTAAAAGCTATGGTAATAAAGAAGGTCTTCTAGAAAATCTTGTTAACTTTTCCTCGTTAATAGGAGAAGAGATTGTAATTTGCTTACTATTCCGAATATAAATGTTTCTTAATCTATTTAGTTTCTTGGCTTGCCCCTATATTTGTTGAGAAAAATTAACCTAATGTATGACATGCTAAATGAAAACATAATGCTTTTCCTTTCTTTGAAAAAAAAAAGTTCAAAACAATATTAAGTGACTAAACAAAATGATTATGAAAAAATTATTAAATTTAAATATCAATTTTAGTGAGAGTAAATTAATATAAATTTTTTATTAATTTTTTTTCAATCGCATTTACAATAATTTGTTTTAATCATAATTATAATAAATTTATTATTATTTTTAATCTCATCATAATTAATCTTATCATCTATCCAGATGAAATTTGAAAAAATAAAAAGTAAAAACAAACTCAGCCTATAGTCAACACTTTTGTAATTTATGGGTTTTAACTCTCTTGCTGCAATGATGGGGCCATGAATCGATTATAGTAAATCTTTTAAACTTATCCTTTTTTTTTTTCATTTCTAATTGAAATTCTAACAAACAAAAAAAATCCCTTTGATTCCATAAATACTCAACAAATTGAGTAAAACAAAAATTTTTAATTTAATAATTACGATACATAAAAAAAAAGTGTGTATTTTGTAATTCAATTATTAAATTAAAAATTTTCCTTTTTTTGTAATTATTTTTTAGAAATCAATTTCTTATTTGTTCGATCACTGTCTACAAATTATTGATCTTCCCTTGATTTCCCTACGGGCTCTGATAAAAAACTCCGGCCCAAAAAATAGTTTTGGTTGGGCCGAAGTTGCCCATATCGAAACCCATTACTCCATTAAAAGGGAAAGGGAAACGAAATCCGTGTGCGCGGCGCAAGCTTGATAAAATCCTGCACCAAGAAAACCGGTCTGTCTCTCTCAATCTCAATTTCCTCTCTCAGTTTCTCGCCCAACTTCCAAGGTACTTAATTTTTTTTTAATTAATTATTCAATCTAATCACCCACCATAATTTCTCCCTTTCAACTAATCCCTAATTTCATTTCTCTCAAAAAAAATAATTTTTTTTCCAAAAAATTCTCTGCTTTCAGTTGACTCAAAGCATCGAATTTAATTTTGGGTTTTGTTTTTGAGAATTAAAGCATCGAATTTTTATGATCGATTCGTAATTGATAGATTTTGGTAATTGGTATTTGGCTAGGGGTTTTTTTTTGCGATCAATGACGGGGGAATTGCAGTTAGAGCCGGCAGGTGCACGAAACGCTACTGATTCTGACCCTCTTTTAGAAAACCAGACCGATTCGTCGTCGCCGGCGAGTTCGAGTGAGATTAGGAGTGAAGATATCGAGAATGTTTCTGCTCCTTGTTGTCGCATTTGCCTCGAATGCGATGGTGAAGAAGGTAGAGTTTCTTCTCTCCTTTAATTTTTTGTTTTTTCGTTAATTATCGATCTAAATATTTTGTGAACTGTGAATGTAATGATATTAAATTAATTTTAAGTTGTTTTATATTGTATTTGCGGCAGGAAACAATTCGTACATTGATATTGTTGTCACATGCTTCATGTTGAATTTACGTGATTATATATATCTATATATATATATATATATATATATATATATATATATGAGCCTTGGCCTAATGGTTGTTTTGTTCTTGTAGATGATGAGCTGATATCTCCATGCATGTGCAAAGGCACCCAGCAGTTTGTTCATCGTGCTTGCCTTGATCATTGGCGTTCGGTAAAGGTAAATTAAGCTTGTTTCTGTAACCGAATGTGAGTGAAGGCTAAGTTCTCTACTTTTGTGTGAAATTTATATGTTATTACTTGGTAATTGATCTACTATGAACCTCCTCTTTTGATAGGAAGGATTTGCATTCTCCCATTGCACGACTTGCAAGGCTCAGTTTCACCTTCGAGTTGAATTGTTTGAGGACAACTCTTGGCGTAAAATAAAATTCAGACTTTTCGTGGCAAGAGATGTCTTTCTTGTGTTCTTGGCCGTACAAACTGTGAGTCTTCTTAGTTTTCTACCAGTACATTTAACATGCTTATATGGTTATTGTCAATTAACCACCTCTTATTCTTTGCATTCATCTATCTTTATTGCTTATTCTGATATGTATATTTGGTGATTACTTGTTGGTTAAGGTGGCGCTTACTTGCAGAAGACCCTGCAACTTTTTATTCCTTTGAGTTTGATGAATTGTTGATTGTCAGATCCATGAAACCTCACTTTAGCACAAGTATTCAGATGCTTTAGAACAATTCCATATTTTTCATTTTTTTTGGATTTGTTGCCTGAGCCGTTAAGTAACTAGCTAGATACAACATGGTCATTAGAGGTATTCATGTATTAGTAACCAAAAGGAAGTTTATTTTGAAAATTTTCATTTTACCATTCTATTGAGAATTCTTGATTACAAAGCTCTATCTCTAATTTGATTTTGGGTGGCACTGTGACTTTTGTTTGATGTTCTAAATTGGTTAAAGTGGTGTGGCTATGGCATTGTCTTGTCACGTAAAATAAAATCAAAAAGCATTGAGCCTCTTTCTGGGCATGGATACTTTGCAACCCCTTTTCCCAATATCGTAATCTAGTTGTTGTCATAATACCATACTTGGATCAGACTTCATTTGGCTGATATGATATGTTGTCAAAGGGTACAGTATCAAAATACATTAACCTCACAAGTTTCATTATTGATGGAAAAAAGGAAGAGAAAAATAATTCAAATGCAGGCCCTGAAAGGGTGGAGGAGGCTGATGTAAAAAGCCTTCTTTAACCAAGTCATTAGTTATTCAGAACTCAGAAAGATTGAGAACTTGTACTGGTCTGATAGATTCATCCTCAATTGCCTTGAGATGATCATCTTATAATGAGTTATCTATTCTTCAGGTAATTGCTGCAATGGGAGGCTTTGCATATGTCATGGATAAAGATGGGGCTTTTCGAAAATCATTCAGTGATGGTTGGGATCGCATACTGTCAAAACATCCTATACCATTTTATTATTGCATAGGTAAGCTTCCCTGATTTTCTGCCTTTTTTATTCTATTGTATAAAATGTTTTCTGAAAGTACCACGTCTAATATTCCTTTGTGCATTGATGGTGCTTGATGCTTGATTTTAGCAGCATATGCCAATTTCAGTTGTAGTAAGGTGTGATAAACTCATCATGTTTTCTATGTTTTATAGGGGTGCTTGCCTTCTTTGTGTTGCTTGGATTTTTTGGGCTCATATTGCATTGCTCCTCCCTCAATAGCAATGATCCACGCATGGCTGGATGCCAGAATTGCTGTTATGGGTGGGGTATCTTGGATTGCTTTCCTGCATCTATGGAAGCATGCTTTGCACTGGTGGTGGTTTTTGTTGTTATATTTGCTATTCTGGGGATAGCTTATGGTTTCCTTGCTGCCACAATGGCAATTCAGCGAATCTGGCAGAAACACTACCACATTCTTACTAAGAGGGAGCTTACTAAGGTATCATTGAGAGCTAGCCTTAGAATTATATCTTTATTCAGATCAATACTGATTAAACTGATTAGCTCTGACATTGGTCTTTTGCAGGAGTATATAGTAGAGGATCTTCATGGCTCTTACACCCCACCAAAACTTGATCCAGAACACGAAGAACGCTTGAAAATGATGAAGCTATTGTAGCTATGGATGAAGAGGTGAAAGCCATGAGACTTATTTGAGTCTTTCAAATTATTCAGGATACAAAAGATACAATTTATTGATTGCTCGGCAACTTTGTCAAATAGATTAAGGGTGAAACGGTGCTGACATTTGTCTCTAAAATCTCTTTGATGTCTAGACCTCGTTATTACCGACTGTTAACGAGGTAAACCGGCCACGCAAGGGTGCGTGTTCATAAATTATCTGTGCAGTTATAAATTTGAATCTTTTTTCCTTGATGTTTGTCTTATCACTAAAATGTCGGGTAATAAATTTTCATAATTTTTTTTTTTCGAACAAAATCAACCGAAGTAGCCTTCAATGCGCATGTAATCTGCCGGCTCAGCGTCTTGCCCATGTTTCGCTCGCTTTGCACTAGCGAGACCATAACAAAAAACGTATAGAAGATTTGCCATCTACTGGGATCCTGGGACCAGCTTAATAGAGGTTAGCCTCTCTCATTAGGAGGCTAATGGGCCAGTTTTGCATGTGCGATGTTTGGTTGGTCAAGCTAGTCATCACAATTCTTTTTCTTTTGTCATAATCCTTATCTTCTTGTCCTGGATAACTAATGCTTGATGTGCTGAGAATGCGCTTTGACAACTACATTTGCCTACTCAAGAGTACACTAAACGTTCTATAATTAGATGCTTATCTGTAATCTAGCCTTTTTGACTAAATTGTTTCTCATCTCGTTTTCATCTACAACTCTAGTCTTAATAAAAAAAAGTAAATTTCTTGCGTGATTGCGCAGACAACGCTAAAAAACAATCTTAATTTAATCAAATTTATATAGATTAGAATGTTTAAAACTCACATGCTTAAGATGTCAAGATAAAGCAGGACTCAGTAGGGTTTAAAGTTGAAACCCAATCCATGACCCAGAAACAACCAACGGCCATGGTTGCAAGTTTCAACTTGGAATTGGAAGGGTGTGGCCCGTCGACAGTCCACCCTGCCTCTTCGACTCTTCAAAACTCGACAACTTACCCCAAAGAACGGACAGAGCCGGCCTACCGGATGAGGACATTAGCTGGACACAGACGAATTGACGACATACCCTTTACAAATTTCTCCAGAGACTCAGCGTTGCTACCCCTTCGATTGAATGCCTCCAAAAACACGAAACTTCCACATGTTTGTCACGTGCACCAACGGTAAAGCTCAACTTCTCAATAGAGGAAAGACAGTAGGAAACCACCTTTGGTTACCGAAGTCCTAAAAACTCCAGTTTCCTGGAGCGTTTCCAACGTTTAAACTTGAAAATATCTCCAGCAAACAAGGTGCAATTAACGTTTACTATGATTCGCTCATATGTGTCCATTTTCACCGATTCTTTGTACATTATATTCTGACAAATATGCGAATCGATGGAGTACAATTTGCGCACAAAGATTCGTCGCTTGGCATGCATGTTTCAATGATCAAAAGCATGTTCAACCTACTAGTAAAAAAAAAAAAAGTCAATTATTGAGAATTAAATGTTAAAAATTTGATAAAGAAAAATGAAGTTTAGACGTATATTGGTATGATACTAATTGCTCTTACTCGTCAAATTAAAACAAAATAATTCAAAAGCTGTTAAAAAAGATTTTTTGACTCTTGATGTTATAATAAATTTCTCTATGAGACAAACTAAATTTGTAATAAAAAATTAATAAATAAATAAAGAAGAAATAGGAATCCTTAAAAGGAAAGGAAAACAACGAGGGTAAAACTGTCAAATGGATGTCATAATCCACATCCCATCCTAGTCATTGACATCATCCACTCGGACCCACGGCCCAAACCAAAATGACCGGAGCACTCGGTAAAAAAGTCGTAAAAGAAAGGCCAAAGAACCTAACGAGTGAACTCCACCTGTACCATCTTATCCGCTACCCCACCATCTTCCCCTCTCTTCGCTTTTTAAATAGCGTCAGCCAGTAACTCATCCATAAGTCCTCCCACCTCCAATTTCACCAAATTTCGGAAGCCCTAATTTTCTCTCTTTAAGCCCTTTAAATCAGTCTTTTCAATGGCTACCCATCTGTTTATCTTTCGTCCCAACGCAGTCCATGTCTGTGCTATTCCCGGTCATCCAAAACCCAACCCCGACCGCCGGAAGAGTACGTCGTCATCTTCCTCCAACTGGTGGTCGCCGCTGTTTGGATGGTCCTCCGAGCCCGGCTACATTGACTCGGATGGAAAAACTGAGATCAAGGAGAAAAGAGAAGCCGAATCGGAAACAGATCCGGGTCCAAAGTCAGCGAGATCGAAGTTTTCCCCGGGATGCTTCACGGAAGAGAAGGCAAGGCAGCTACGTATGATGACTACTAACACGTCATCATTTCACGACGTTATGTACCATTCGGCTATTGCTTCTAGACTCGCCTCCGACTTCAAGGGTCGCTACGATCGATGAGTCTCCGGCTAGTCGGGGCTATATTTAAACTTTTAATTTTCTGTTTTTTTTTTTTTTTTCTGAGTTTTGGAATGTATAAAAATTTTTTATGTCCATTTTTAAGGGGCTGAAAAAATTGTTAAATGACGCAATCCAAGATGTAAATATTGAACTTCTGATGTATATAGAATAATTTTCAAATCTTTTTTTTATTATTGTTATTACTATTTGCTTTGATCCGTTTCGCATCAATGGCCTAATTTAGCAGATTATAACAAATCAAGATCAAGTGGAAAAGATTAACGGTTGATCGGATGCTTCGTGTTTTGTCTTGTTTCGGGTCTCAACTCATCCGACCGTTGAGATGCTAGTGTAAATTGATCATCAACATAATAAAAAGTAGCAACTATTGCATGTTTGGATCTTTGAATAAGAATCTCCAAGTTGCCAAATATGCTACGAGGAATTCAAAGTATCAAAAGAGGAATATGCCAAAGTTTCAGATTTTCACGATATTTGTGATGATGCCATCAGGACTGTTTTCCTCGGTTTTAACTTTGCTGATTGGTACAATCAATTTGTGCTTTCACACATAGGCAGCTGCCAAATGTTTCAGCACACAGAGCTGTAATGGAATTTGTTATTGTCTGAAGGGGTGGGAGGGATGGAGTAAAAGATAAGCTGCTTCTTGACGGCCACAACTCTTGAGGATGATTTTGAAAGTCACAAACACAAATTTAGCACAAATTGTTTGAGCTTTAGGGAAGAAAAAAAAAGAGAAATTTTCTTCCCGCGTATTTTAAATTTGCACATGAAAATTGAGAGAAAAAGTGCTGATAAAGAAAGCTGGAACCTAGAAATGTCCAAGAAAGCAAGAATCTTGCCAGGAGCACTCAATACTGTGGTCCAGCACCCAAGCAACCAGCCACTTGTCTTTTGTTTCCTCTAAGTTCTGCTTAAACCGAAACCCCCGCGTGTCCGAATCCCGACAAGTTCAAAATCATGCAACCTTGACAACAATGGTGGGTTTAACCGATAAAAATAATTCTCTTGAAATGCAATATCTTATGAGTAAATCTAAATTTTGTTGCCAGTCAATGTCTTCAAAAGCATTACAAGAGAATGATCCAGATCAGCAATGCATAATGCATGGATGGCAGTGTTTTCTTGAAGACATTAGACTTACCAATTCTTTCACCTTGAAATATCAGGCATAATTTACTGCATAGAGGCTCCCACTTAAAATGAATTAGCCTGCATATCAATCACATCATATTTTCCACAACAAAACAGTTACAATTCATCAATAGCAGATTATTCTCTCTTATTTCTCTTGAAAATTGAAACTAATTCCGCAATGAGCAGCCCTTAAATCTTTGGCCCAAAAGAATCATAAATACAAGATATAATTATCATTTCACAATAAAAGGAATGAGAAGATTACAATCTTCAATTTGTTCTAAGCCATTCTACTTTCAGAAGATCAAGCTGCATAAGATCCGGCAAACAAGAATAATTGATGAAGGAGATATAATCAGTTTCTCAAGCCAAACTCTGCTTCTTCACTTGCTCTCAACATCATATAGATCTGCTCTGGACATTTATTAAGGATAAGAAACGGAAGAGGAAGCACAACTATGAACATAATTAATAGATAATATTTATAAGAGGTGTTGTCAGGCTGGGTCGGCTTGGGCAAGCATGTACGATATTATACCATGCCTAGGCCTGACACAGCCTATGGACACCTCTAATAGTAATTCCAACAAGATGATCAACTTTTAAAAAAAAAACAAGACTTTTCTTGAAAAAAAATCCCAGGTAGCATGTTATAAAATCATGAAATATTATAGGAATGTTGTTATTCTAGAGGGACATATGGTAGATAATACTCTCCCCATCCCCCCCCCCCTCTCACCTCCAACACATGGGAAAAATTAAAAAGAATGACAATGATAAATTTTCCATCTCATGGAGTTTGTACACGAGCAATTTTAATAGATGGCAGAATGAACTAGTACATGTGAAAATGTTCACCATACAAATAGCATTATGCAAAATGAGGCTGTAACTAAACTCTGAAACACATAGCTCCAGAAAAAGGTCAAAGACTAAAAGTTAAATGTCAAATAAGTTGAACAGATATGAGAGTCAAATATCCTTCTTAAATCAACTAACCAGCACTATTTAAATTCTCAATGCATGTCTCTCTGAGACAAGGCTCTCAGACATTTCTCTAGTAATGCATTTCACTCTGCTTGTTTGTTACTCGAGTGAAAAGGAAGAGAAAAATTCCCTTGAAACACATTTTAACAAAAAAAGTGAAGAAATCCTATCGCAACCAAGCCTTTTCTTTTTCTTGGAGGATGAAGGTGTGGCAGAAAATGCCAGTTATGAATAGATTGGGGATGTAAAAGCATGCTTTACAAATATGATTGCTTTAAGTTTGCATCTTAAAGAGATGCAAAAAGGGTTGGAACTTGACTTTCAAAAAAAGCTACAAAAATGTATAAGTTATTGACTGTTGCCTTCCAAAGAAGGAACATTAATGCATGCATATTAAATCTCACAAGATAAAAATCAATCGTCTATTTGATTATCAATTATCATTTTGCCGACAGCATAAACATAAGGTATGAATAATAACATTTATATCAGTTGGGGTTGTTTTTTATTTGTACTGGTTACAAATATGAGAAAATGTTCATGTAAATACTTCTTGCACTATGAACCACATATCTAACACCCTTTAGAAGAAAAGGACCAATATAACCAGCAGAGTAATGGCACTTTAACAATTGAAAAGGTTGTACCCAATAAAATTAATTATCAGTGCAAAGATTTGAATTTTGCATCAATAGGTATCAGTTTAAAACATTCGAGAAACCAATGCAATATAGATTAAATGCTTTCCCTTATCCTAGCTCACCAAACCAATCATTCAAAGGCATAAAGAATACAACTATAAATCAATCTTGCTCATATGCATCCACCAATTCTTTACAATCAATCTCTCAAAGGCAACACTTGGACCATGCATGTGCAAGCAACATTCATGTTAAACACAAATGATCTCCTATTGAAAAGAAGTTGCATATAGAAATCAGAGCAACAAATCGTGAGAATCTTTGGGGAAGGGAGGAGTCGAGAACCCAATTTTTTAAGCTAGGCAAAACATGCATTATCATTGGGCCAAACAACCAGGAGCAACATTTAGCAACCCTTGAACGCTAAAGAATGCCAGCCATCTTTAGATAGAAAGTATAGGACCCATTTTTTAAACAAAAAAAGAAGTGATTATTTTATATGGTATGTATCAATTCCCAATTAAGCCAATATATATGCTATGATAAAACTCAATGATTAGTTAGCCGTCAAAAGAGAATATTGAGTAAGCGTAGAGCATATAAAGTTCAGATCAAAGAAAGTGGAACAAGAATCTCCAATTTCCATAAAGACAGTGAGCACATAAAAAGAATATGCAGTGGCACTACTCAATAATTTAACCATGAATAATTAAGAGAAGAAAAAAAATAACAGAGAATCACCAATAAGGTTATAGTAATTAAAACAACATAAGATTAAAGAATAAGGATACACCAAATAAGAACCATGAACAAAAGCCCCAGCCAACACAATAGTAAACAACCGGTCTCTTAAAACTGGATTCTTCCTCAAAGAAAGTCGAACTGAAGAGGGAAAAAAAAAAGAATCATTATAAGATTAACATCAGAAATTAACATCAGAAAAACAAAACCCATGTATCAAAATCACCCAAAAAGGGGAAATAAGAGAGATTTTAGACTTACTTAAGGGGAGAACAGGGGCATAGACTAAAGGGACTAGGAACTTGAAAGGGGGTCCCTTGTTTACAGATCAAAATAAAAATATTAACAAGGCGATTGTGAGAATTAAAAAGCGAAAAATGCCAACAAATAGCCGAAAAACATGTATGGGAAACGGGAATGTTCCAAGATAATTACTAGTTATATGGGTCGGAAGGGGTGGCCATGGTGGGTCTGAATAAACCGATTAATTAAAAAGCTTTTTGAGGTTGAGTTTTGCGGGAAGTGAAGACGTTGGGTTTTGCTATGATCCGGTGAAAAGACCTACGTGATTTCAATGACTAACAATTTGTCAAGGATGTCAAGACATTTTTTATTTTTCAACACAGATCTTATTCTTTATTTCTTTCAATTACTTATATAAATTTGAGAGCCTGACTTTGTTAAATTAATTTGTAATATTTTATTTATTTAAAATAATTTAATATATAATTAATATTATTAAATATAAAAAGATCTATTAAAATAATTAACAACAAAAGATTCGTTAATATAAAACTAAAAAAAAGATTAACCTTTATAAAGAAAAATAAAATAGGCCTAGATTGTCATTAAGTAGATCTTGATTTAAAAGCTTGCTTAAGATAAATCTAACATTTGCTAAGCTCCAAATACCCAATTCCATTAACACCAATGACTATAACAAAAAAGAAAGTTGCCCTACTAATATTATAGCCAATAATATAAAATCATATTCTCACATTGAATGGATAAAAAATTAGGATCTTGTGATGTGATGTCATCAAATGTAAATTCAATAATATTATCAAGATAAACTTTTAACATTGTATTCCTGCAAGCAAGACAGATGCATTCAAATATAAACTTTTCCATTTTATATTGCCAATTAGACGCTTATTTCCCAATGCTCACATGCTGATAAACATAGGAGTAATAAGAAAGGCTCTTATACCTCGAAAGAACATTATTTACAGACACTAACCACTGAACATACTCATAACATGTATATAGATTGCTAGGTTGAGCATCAACTTCAATAACTTGGAAAAGATTAAGATATTAGAGTAATAGGCTAAAAGTCCTCATAATCTGTAGGGATTTATATTGTAAATGTTTCACTATATTAGTGAGAATGAAATACCTTCAAAACTTGAGGGGTTATGAATGCATGTCCTTGAACCTGATCAACAACTATAAGAATTTGAACTTTCCTTTAATGAACTTGTAGAGCTGTAGAAACTACAAATGGACCAGGTATACCAGTAGAGGAAAAGGAATTCATAGGAATTGGAGATTCAAAAATTGGTTTATTACCATTTATCTATTTTATAATTAATTTGCTTTGCTTACTTGTTAATGGATGAACTGATGTCGACACAAAGGATGTTTGAGATGACTTATTCACATTTAAATTGTTCACTTCCGGAGATGAGTTTTAAGAACTGCACCATTTGGCTATTCTTTAGGTTTTCTTAAGATAGAGATGATTTTATTGTTTGTCGATTATCATTGGGTACAGATTGAGATTCTACAATTGGTTCTAACTTTGAACTAATTGAAGAGCTCATAATCGTACATCTAAAAGTCAATCCAAAATCCCTGAAACTTGTCCTCTAAACAATGGACATTAAAATTCTCATATTCTTAAATGTGTATCTCTTTTTTGGAAATTTGAAAAAAAAATGTTTAAAATTGAGAAATTCCTTAAAATCATAAGTCACATTCCCTGTTAATTAATTCAATTACTTAATTGTTTTTTTTTCGTACTTCAATTTGCCTTAGAACTATTTATATTCAATATATTTTTCTATCACATAATTTAATTTTCTCCATTAATAAAAGATAACACAATATAAAGCTCAATAATAATAAAATAAAAACACTTAACTTCAGGTGAATCAATTGATAAGCAAAAATCAAATTACATTGTTAAAAAAACAAACAACATATGAAATAAATAAAAAATAACACATATTACAATTCATGCTAAGTTGAAAATATAATATCCAAATAGTTTGAAAAAATCCTAAGACAAAAAAAAAATCAATTAAACAATTTCATTCAATTAATGTGTAACTCTTAAAAAAGATAAATTATGCACTTAAAAATTATAATTTTATAAAGAACAATTCGATTTTCATCAAACATCAAAACATGTAAAGATAAATTATTAAAAAATATATATTTACAATAGCATGTAACCTTGAAAACCATAAAATCCAAATCCCATTTAATAAAAAAATTGTGTAACATCAAAATCATCTCTAAAAAACAAAAAAAAATCCACATTTAATTAAAAAATAAAAATTTTGACCCAAAAATAACAAAGAAAAAAAATAAGAAAATAAAAAAACCAACAATCATAAATAAAAAAAAAACTCTCTTTCACGTAAAAGTTACATTATGTGAAACAGTTATGAAACAGTAATAAATATCTAAAAATAAAAACTTAAAAATTTAAGTTTAAACATATTTGTTGAAATTAAAACATAGTTATCAAAACAAAACAAAAAAAAAAAGGCCTATACACAAATAATAAAAAAAAAACTCTCTTTCACATGAAAATTACATTATGTGAAGCAGTTTAATAAAAACTTAAAAATAAAAATTTAAAAAATTAAATTTAAATATATTTTTTGAAATTAAAACATAGCTATCAAAATAAAACAACACAAAAAAAACTATAAATAAAGAAAGAACATTTTGCTCTTTGATGCGAGTAAAAAATCTCATCAAACATCATCAAAATGGCAAAATATTATAAAAAAATACGTGGCAAGCCTAGATCCCTCAAGATATCCTTTTTATATAAGTTATATCGATGATAATGTTATTGATAAAAATAATAACCCACAAAAAAAGTTTGCATTTGCTTTGAATTTAAGCTTGAGGTGGCAAGGATGGTTACGTTTGTGAAGATTATCATACAAAAGGAAAGAATGTTAATAAAATCTATCTTTTGTTCACATAACATTACCAAATTACAAACCAGTCCCTCAAAAACCAAATAAAAGGAGTGGGGCGCGGCAAAATAGTAAGTGGACCCCAGGGGAATGGATCGGACGGTGAATATGTTCTAGAAGAGGAAAAAAGGTCAGAGTAAACAAATCTAACGGCAGATAGAGTTGCGTCAGGTTAAAGCCAGGCCCTAAGAGCTGAGACCCTGAAAAGCCCTCACTCTTATAAACCTTTGCTATCGCCGTCTCTCAAATCACTCCATCTTCTTCCCTCTCGATTTTCTCCGCTTTCGCCTAACAAAAGCAGATTCGTAGAATATCTATTCCCTCGCTGCCTATTTCGAGTTTTAGTAATCAATGGTGAACAACCACTCCCTCTTTGGCTTGATCTTTTTTTTTTTTTAATTTTAATTATAATCTAGGGTTTCAATTTTTCTATAGATCTTTGATTTTTGTTTTTCTTGATTATGTGGTGTAGGCTTTGCCGAACCAACAAACCGTTGAGTATCCGAGCTTCAAGCTCGTCATCGTCGGCGACGGAGGCACTGGTAATTCCTTCTTTCTTTGCTCGTAGATTCGATTTCTAATTTTTTTTTACGATTAAATTTATTTTTTTTCCTTTTTTTTACGCTTCTACTAATTTTTTATCAGTTCGATTTGCTTTTTACATATTATTTGATGCTAATATTTACAGATTTTGAATAATTTTTTTTACTTTTAAAAAGTATTTATTTTTACCTTCAGCTTTTATTAGTCAGGAAAACTAAGTTATTTATTTTGGACGTCCTTGAACGTGTTGTGATTGATGCAGGGAAGACGACATTCGTTAAGAGGCATCTGACTGGAGAGTTTGAAAAGAAATATGAGCGTAAGTGTTTTAACAACATTGTTTTGGGGAATGTTCTCTTTGATTTATGAGCTGTTTGAGCAATTGATTGGCTTGTTATGGGTGTTTACTTAAAGTATTTTATCATTTTGACGGTACAGCAACCATTGGTGTGGAGGTTCACCCATTGGACTTCTTCACAAACTGTGGGAAAATCCGTTTTTACTGCTGGGATACTGCTGGACAGGAGAAGTTTGGTGGTCTCAGAGATGGTTACTAGTAAGTGGTTCAGTAAGTTTAGCACTTGTTAGCCATATGTTTCTCTAACTTGTTCTATAATCCATTGGGTGTGAAAATGGGTGTTTGCATGCATCGCGTATTCGTGTGGTTATATCATGGTTTTGCACTTTAATACTATCTATCATATTGATGAGTAATGCTTTTGAATATCTTTATAGTGTTTCATATTAACATGGTAAAGAAATTCTCTTTATCCAAGGTTTAAAGAATCTTTTTTCCTTTCAGTGTTCATGGCTTATACCACAGTTTTTTCATGCCTTTTTTTTATTAACCAAAAATGTTTTACCTATCATGTTCTTTTTTATCATTTTATTGCTAGTGGCTATCACATAAAAGAAGTGTAAAATATTGCTTTGTTGAGTTTTTTCTTACATTTTTATATTATGTGGTGCAGCATCCACGGCCAGTGTGCCATTATCATGTTTGATGTTACTGCCCGATTGACGTACAAGAATGTTCCTACATGGCACCGTGATCTTTGCAGGTGCGTTACAATTGACAGTCTATCATTTATGATTTTTTCTTTTGGTTCTATTCTAACAGTATTATGTAACTATATTGTTGCAAATGCAGGGTGTGTGAGAATATTCCTATTGTTTTGTGCGGTAACAAGGTTGATGTGAAGAACAGGCAGGTCAAGGCAAAACAGGTCACATTCCATAGGAAGAAGAATCTGCAATACTATGAAATTTCTGCCAAGAGCAACTATAATTTTGAGAAGCCTTTCTTGTACCTTGCCAGGAAGCTTGCAGGGTAACCGAACATTGTCTTTCTTGCACTATTAATGTTTCAATGCAGGTACTTTGATTGATGCCTAATATCGATGATGCCTTGATGATTTTAGTGATGCTAACCTCCATTTTGTGGAGTCTCCTGCACTTGCTCCACCGGAAGTACACATTGACTTGGCTGCACAGCAGCAGTAAGATATCCCTTAGCAAACTAATTTATTAAGCAGTCATCTTTTTATACATGCTGTTTTGTATTCTATTCTAAAGGATTTTAGGCAACTAATTGGATTGATTCTTTTTTTTTTTTTAAAATTATTTTTGAAAACCAAATGTACCTATGATATGATTCTAAACACCTCCATTTACAGGATTCACATGATTCAATTTATTGTCCTAATCTTGGCATTTGGTTTGTTTTAGGCATGAAGCTGAGCTTGCAGCGGCAGCTAGTCAGCCCCTTCCAGATGATGATGATGATGCATTTGAGTAGAGGACTTTCAGTTTCACTGCAATTTCAACATTTTCTGTTGCTTTTTTCATCTTCCCTTAATTTCGATATGCTGTTTTCTTAAAATTTTCAAATTGTATGGCAGAGTTTGGTTATCAGAAGTAGGGGTGTTGTCTGCTTATTTGAGGACGGGGACAATGTGCTAGATTTTTCACATATACTTGTTATGGGTCTTTGGTGGTGTTTTGCTGTTGTTTGTTGCCATGTTGGTGGTCTGGAGTTTGCTTATGCAGTCATTCTATATGTGTTGAATTTGAATCAATCAGTTAGAAGACTATTAGAATTCACCTCTTGAGCTAGTTTTCTTTGAGTGCTAACCGATCAGTAAGGATGGTTCAAAACTGCTGTATACATCCAGGGTGGCTGGCTCGCATCCTCAAGGGGCTTGAATTGAACCCTGCCTTACAAAAGTATAAATTTCCCCAATTTTTTTATATAAATTTCAGTTACTTTCTCTTCCTTATAGAAAGATTTGGGAAGATAAGAAAATGCCTCAGCCATTGCCTTCTGCTCCTTTATTTACCAATACCTTTGATAATCTTTTATCAAAGTCGACCAATTGCATTGTCTCTGACATAAGCCTTTTTGTAGAGATTTGTAGGCAGGCATAGTGACAAAATCTAAAGCAAGAACAAGAACGCAATGACTTGAACAGGCTAGCCGACTTAGAGTAGAAGAAAGAGGAAAAGGGTAAGGAGAGGGAGTACAAAAAGACCCATGCACATCTTTTGCAGAGTTGTCATAACAGCAGTGCTGCAAAATAGGTATCAAAGCATCCTGGAGAAGGGAAACATAAAATTCTGAGAGAAGATTGAAGACAACATTAAAAGAATCAAATCCCCATGGCAGCCACAAGATTCTGGTCTTACATCCATCAGGAACAAATATCTAGGGCTCACAGGAGACCAGAAATAGAAGAATCCAGCAAGCCACAAAATAAAGAAACTAGCGCCGCATAATAACTTCCCCAAAAATTGGCCTACTGTTGAAAAGAAAGAGAAAGGTGGCAAACCCCAAAATCATCTTTGGACATTTGGCAGGAAGGTGTTTAAGCCTCCTTCTTCAACCCTGAAAAGGACAGGGGAAGCATCAATAATGTCCTCGAAACGAGAGATACTAATGCTGAAAACAGAGTATTATACCCTGAGAACTTTCACATCAAATGGAAGGCTTGAAACATCTTTCTTTAATACTAAACAAATAGAAAAAAAGGCAAAAAACAAACACTTAATCAAAACAACCAGAGGACTTTTATCACATGATAACCTTCTATAATAACTAAAGGATTCAAATATAACCAGAAGATTAGTCAAACATCCATTGTATCTCTAATAGATTCAAGAAATATAAACAAGAGAATGGTGAGAAAAATGCATTCTTGATATCTGCCCAATTGTTGGCTAATTCCTGATGTGCTATTTCTCAAAGAATTGTTTGGCTAAAATAAACGAAAAAGGAAGAAAAGTAGAGAAAAAAGAACTGATACACAATGATTAGCTCAGAAAACATTTCATGCTTTCCAGTTTCTGTTGTGTTACATTCATTTCAAAATATATCACTATATGCTGAAAACCTAAATGGGGAAAACTGATAGCATACTTCATCAAGCTACATACAATTGAGGAAGCCGCCAGTGTAATGATTTATCCGAGTCTATTCTAGGCGAAAAAATAGAGAAGGAAAAAAAAAAAAACACAGACACTCCTGGTTATCTTATAGGAGCATGCTATCAGCAGAAATTAAGTTTCTTAGCTCCATCAAATGTTCATCATTAGATATATGAAGTGAAAGACGAAGATTAGTCATTAATGCTTCTTGTTCCCAAGTTAAAGGCCCCGATGCATGCAAGGCCTCCATAGTGCAACGGTAGGCATGTAACTCTATCTTATGGATCTCAGCAGCCAGTTCCTCTTTTGTAGGAAGGAGACAATTTCCTTCCTTACCCCCCCTTGGACAAAAAGATTCAGCATCACTACATTCAGCATCAACATCTTCAGTAGGACCTGTAGAAACATGATGATGCAACTTATAGAGAATGTTACTACTCACACTACAACTACCAACAGAGCATGTAACACTATCAGCGTCGTTGGTTTCTAAGTTTTCTGCAAAATAACATCCAACAGCACCATTTGGTTTTCTCCTGTCTGCATGCACTTTAGACAACCCAGTACTGTTGTTAACAGAAGCATGTATGTATTTTTCACCCAGTATATCTCTTGGGAATGCAACAGCATCTACCTGTTTATGAATGGATGGATTGGCAGCAGCCAGTCGGTATAATCTTCCAACTTTCTCAACTGCTCTAAGCTTCTGTCCAGCTCCAGCATGTGCTTCAACTTGAGAGTAGCATCCTCTCTTTAGAGTTTTTGAGCAAGCAATAACAGATTCCTGGTAATTAACCTTGTTGCTAACAGGACCATATTCACCCTTCACACGTCGTTTTCTCCTTCTAATCGTATTCTGAAATTGGGAGCTAGAATTTTGATTGCATCTAGGAGTAGAATGTTCACCATGTTTCCCATCTTCACAACTGCCAGAACCCTGCAAGTAGACATAATATAAACGGATATCTTGACTTGTTGAACGAGAACCCAACATAAAACAGATTTGCCTGAATTTATTAGAAACAAAGCATGGCACTTAGACCACAAGCTCAGAAAAAGAAGGATTACTGTCCGAATGAAGGGATCTCATTTGGATGAAACAGATAAGAATATTCAAGCTAACCTCCACTTAAAATAAAACTTCAAATGGATATGGTAATGATAGACATGAAAACAAATCAACTTGCTATAACATAAATTGTTTAATTGGCAAACAATGAATGCAAAAAAAGCTTTGAGAACGTAAAATTTTCAAATGAGTGAGGAACATAGATTAAGATAGAAATACCTTTCCAATCACAACCCATTTTGTTTTGCCATGACTGTCTCACACGGATGTCAAATTTACTGACCTTAAACTCAAGAGATGATCCAAGCAACCTAACCAAAATGAACTTTTTCTCAAAAACCCCTAAAACTGTTGCCATCTTCCAGGAAAAATTGTCAAAAACCTCGACAACATCACCAGGAAACCAATTATCTGAAACTGCTGGCACAGGAGGACAAGGTCTAACAGCCTTCCTAGATACCCTCTCCACAATCGTCTTGTCAGTGGCACTGGAATAACATTCATATCTAACGGTGTAGCTGTGGCCATTGCCACAGATTATCTCAGCACAATGCCAGGAGCCTGATGGCACCTCTTTTTTGCTCAAGACTTCCACTTTGGTCCCTTTCTTGAATCTCATGATCCTTATTACATAAATTCCAACGCCCAAACTGCAAAAGACATTGAAAAATGATAAGATCAATACACAAAACATACAAATATAATTAGAATTTCCTAGCATCCTCTAAAAACAATTATAACAGGGGAACAGTGTGGAAAAGAAAGGCAGTTTCTGCAAAGTGTACATAAGAAATAAAAACAAAATTTTGAATTTTTATAAAAATTAAAAAAACTTTAATTAGAAAATGTAAGAAAAAGAACAATAAAGTAAATCTAATGCAAGAGTCATTCATTCTTGGAAATTAGTTTAAAGTAAACAAACAAACCAAAACAGTCAGGAGCAGGCTCTGTTTGGTACCCAAGAAAATGCAGGAAAAAAGAAAGCAATCAGAATTTTAGGGAAAAAAATTCAAGTGATCTACTAAGTTCAGACTTTTGTAATTTAAAATCAAAACTAAAAAAAAATAAAAAATCATAAAACAAAAATTTAATCCTCTTTCTTCTTCTCTTTTATGTATCCACAGTTTTCTCAGTAACCAAACAGAAGAAAAATAACAAAAATTACCAAAAAAAAAAAGAGTCGTAAAGCAAAAAATTTTTAACTTGTTCATAATCTAAATAATCAGAATTAAATTAAAAAAATCAAATAAATACTTCAAATTAACGAATTGATGAAGAGTTTGACTAACCTTTTGATGGAGGATTGAAGAGAAAAACCAAAAAAAAAAAGTTTTTCTGTCTCGGTTAAGAATTTAATTTGTTTTTTATTTATTTATTGTGGAAATTAATATATATGGATTATTATGGCGTTTATGATTTTATTTATTTCTTTTATTTTTAAAAAAATGAATAATGGAAAATTTAGTATAATAAACAAAGAATAATATGCTAGGCTTTCTATCCAAGCTGCCAACTGCCCAAGAATAGCTCTTTTCTTTTTGGGTCGAGCCGAGAATAGCTTGTTGAGGTGTGGATTAACTGTTTTAATCTTATTCTGTTCCTTGAGCACTCTCTCTTTTTTTTTTAAAAAAAAATTAAGATATATTAAAAAATAAAATATATAATAATATTTCAATTTCACTTATAAAATTAAAAATATTTATTATATATAAAATAAATCTTTTTATACTCTTGTTTAACTTAACTTCAATAGCTAACATAAATGGAAATCTTGATGATGCTGATTATTAGCTATGATTGATCCATGATTATGGCAAAGCTGATCTCTTTCTAGTTTTATAATGCCCATGCTTTCATCGCATTATAAAAAAAAAAATTTTTTTTTTAGATCACGAGGATAAATTTTTAATATAATTAAAAAAAAGATAAATTTGATTCAAAATTAAATTTTTAATGTTCTTCAAGTGTCTTTAATTATTAAATTAAAAATATGAGAATAATAAAAAAAAAGCTTTCATGCATAGATAATGATAAAAAACAATTCCTACTTATCGTATTATCATTCGATATAAGCATGAAATTTAATTAAATTAATTTGTATAATTATTTTATAAAATTTACATTTAATTACTTTAAATTCAAATTTTAATATCTTTTTTTTTTTCATCTTTAAATTGTGATTTAAAAAAAAAATTACTCAAACAATATAATTAGATTTTATTGGCCTGAAAAAACCAAAATAATAATAATAATAATAATAATACCAAAACGACTTAGACCGGCAACTTAATTAGTATATTATTAGGTATATATGCAAAAGAAAATCAAACACATTGTTCAGTGCCAAAATTATTGAAAAGGGATTGATCGGTCCAAAAAGATGAACGAGTGGTTCTCTTACAATAATATAATATTCTATCTCGTACACGAAAAAGGAATATCCATTTATATTATTCTTCACGAATTAGCAGACCATTCTACTATTTATAGTTGCATTACTTAATGTCGGTAGAAAGTAGAAACCACCAAAGTTGTGTAATGTGTTTTGTTTTTTTCCCTGATTTCTTTCTAAAACGTTTGCGGATTTGTTTTTTTGTCAAATAACATTTTAAAGTTCGTAATAAATTTGAATATAAACGTCGTAATTAAATTTAATAATTCGTATATTTTTATTATATAAAATATTAATAATTTAAATATTAATATTATATTTTATATAAAATTTACGTCTAACAAATTATATTAATAGCAAAATAATATATATTTTTTATTTTTATTAGAATCATATAATTTTTATTAAAATTTTAATTCATATTATTTTAGTTTTTTTTTTAATATCATTTTTGTGTGATATCTTAAATTATTAAGTCTAATTGTAGACATGCATATAAACATTTTAAGATGGTATGAAAATTTTAGTCAAAGAAATTCATCTGGGAATCCCATTACATAGAAACATCCCCAAAAAGAAGTTTTAAGGTTACAATTGCGAAAGGACAATTTTGAGAGAGGTGACTTGCATTCTCTAAAATTTGATGCATGTCTTAAAGCCTCGAGCAACAAAAATATTACTTTTCATCCTTGACCAAGAGAATCCAAGCCCTAATCAATTCACAGTTTTTTTCCTCCTTATCCTGCCATTGATTTGAGTATTGGAATGTGTTTTAGAATCTTAAATCCCTCCTTATCTAATCCTTTACATTTAGCAAATGAAACTAACATGATTAACTTCGGTGTCATTTTCCAGGACACCTTTGGAATATTAGGATTTTTGTAAACAGCCTGGAGCAGTTCATAGTGTTGAGAAAGTCATCCTTGTTTACTAATTTTAGAAGCTTTTGGTCCTTCTCAATTCAAGTTTTAACTGATCATCAAAATGGATTAGTCAATTATATTAATTATTATACACATCAAAATCACGATATTTTTCAAACTATAATGTATGGCCTGCATTTCCTCATCATGTCACCCTCCACCGTATCCCCCGGCGCCATTATTCACCTCCATTTGAATATATGAAATTTCATGTACTGAGGGACTTGGTCTTTTCATACCATCTCCAATTGCTAACCATTATTTAAACATAAGTTTTAGATTCATTCATTTAATTTGGACTTACGAAGGTGAAAGCAACCTGGGTTTGATTATTCTTACAACTCCTATTTGTTGTCTCTTTACTTGGTTTACTGAATCAAATTTCACAGTGACTTAACGACTTTGTCATGTATTCTGAACTAATTCCTAATCCAAATCAAGACAATACAATACTGCAGTTGTGAAATGTAGAAAGAATGGACAGGACAATCCATGAAATTCAGTTCTTTTTTATTTTTTGTTCTTTCCCATATATATATATTTTTTATTATATGAGCTTTTGTTATTATGGAGGGAATTAGGACAAAATTTTTTGCCTTCCAGTTAGGTGATTGGCAAGTGCCTATAGCAGAAGAACCAGAACCAAAAAAGAACTAGCTGCCATGCCTAATTTTTTGGTCTTTTGGGTTCCCATTGGAGCTTGAACTCGAAACCAACGACTCATTGGTCTGCCCTGCTTGCTTAATTTGACAAAACCAAAAGATGAGTATCAAAGTAAGAACAGTGAACAGGGTTTAAGATGCTCTTACTTGATTTAATGGTGAAAGGACTGCACGTAAATAAAATACAAATATGACAAATTACTCGGTCATAGGACAAAACTTGTCTCAGCAGTATGAACCAAACCTTTGACCATTTAAAGGCTTTAAAAATAAACAACACAACTAGCCTTAAAGGGAGAAAAAAATAAAAGGAAAATTAGGTGAACTTCCTGGTTGTTTCTCTTGGTGTATATATAATATAGTCACAGCCCCATGCTTCAACATCTGGTTGATCCAAAGGTGGAAAATAGTTTTCAATCTTTGGAATTAAATATTCTAATGAATGCTTACTTCCTCTTAACTCTTGACAATGGTTTCTCTCTTATGAAAGGCAGAAGATGAAGAATCTCTTGCCTCCCCTTTAGCTGAAAACAATGATGATGCTCAAATGGAGGACAGGAAAGTAAATATAACAGCTGTTATAACAATCATCGCCCTCATCATTTTTGTCATCCTTGCTCACGTCTGGTTGAAACTTTCCAAGGCTTTCTTCCTCATTGCAGGGGCAGATATTGCAGTAATCCTTGCAGTATTTGCATATCTTCTAATTAGAGGGCGATATCAACGCAGAAGAAAATTGTTAGAGAAGAAACTGGTATCAGAAGGTGTTGAGCTTCGATTAGAGTACAGTTTTCTTAGAAAGGTAGCCGGTGTTCCAATAAAGTTTAGGCACGAGGAGCTTGAGGATGCAACAGATAATTTTCAGGCACTGCTTGGCCAAGGTGCATCTGCTTCAGTATTCAAAGGTATCCTAAGTGATGGAACCTCTGTTGCTGTGAAGCGAATAGATGGGGAGGAGCGTGGGGAAAAGGAATTTAGATCAGAAGTTGCAGCAATTGCAAGTGTGCAACATGTAAATCTTGTGCGTCTTATTGGGTATTCCTGTCCTCCCGGAGGGCCTAGGTTTCTTGTTTATGAGTTCATCCCAAATGGCTCATTGAATAATTGGATCTTCCCCAGAAGGGAAACTAGAAATGGTGTTGGCGGCTGCTTGTCATGGAACTTAAGGTACAAAGTTGCTATTGATCTGGCCAAGGCACTTTCCTACCTACATCATGATTGCCGTTCAAGGATATTACACCTTGATGTCAAGCCAGAAAATATACTTCTTGATGAGAATTATAGAGCAATTGTGGCAGATTTTGGTCTTGCAAAGTTGATGGGAAAAGATGAGAGCAGGGTCATTACAACAATCAGGGGGACTAGAGGTTATCTGGCCCCAGAATGGCTATTGGAGCATGGAATTTCAGAGAAATCTGATATCTATAGCTATGGAATGGTTCTTTTGGAGATGATTGGAGGCCGAAGAAATGTTAGTGTGATTGGAAATGGCGCTGATAGGTCGAAAAGGAAATGGCAGTACTTTCCTAAAATTGTGCGGGACAAACTAAAAGAAGGAAAACTAATAGAAGCTGTTGATCACAGGCTACTTGAAGCAGGAGGCATTGATGAGAGTCAAGTGAAAAGACTTGTTTATGTAGCTTTGTGGTGCATACAAGAGAGGGCGAATCTAAGGCCTAGCATGGCACAAGTGGTTGAGATGCTTGAAGGGCTTGTGCCTGTAGATGAACCTCCGGACACAAACATGATTGTTCTTGATTTGTTATCAATAGATGAAGAGGATTCTGAAAGGCCAGAAATTTCTGCAATTGGATCACATGTAGACTGCAACATTCCTGGCTCATCTGCATCCTCTTTTGTGATATCAGTGCTATCGGGACGCTAGCTTCCTCTTACTGTCATAGTTTAATGTAGCTTGAGGTTCTTTTTCATTTTTTTTTTGGTTATAATTTTTGTCAAATAATTCCACATATGAGAGAAATCTGACAAACAGATTTTTTTGAAGAGATCACCTGTTCTTGTTTTCTCACCAAACTCAATCTTCAGCAAAATGCTGAATGTAAACAAGGTTTTACTTGATTTCTCAGTCATGATCATCCTCCTGGATAATGGCAGATAGTGTTTTCTACCATATGATTCATTGTTTCTAATGATATCATATCCATTTTTGTACTTCATCAAACAGATAATTCTGCAAGGAAAATATAAAGAAAGAATAGTACTAATGTTGTTTGATCTAACTTAGCATCCCCATCCTGCTTCTAGAAGGAGAAAATGGTGGGGGATGGAAACTGAGCCATTGACACTGGCCATGGCCTTTGGGGGAACTTTCCCTTGCATTTTACATTTGGTTTTGAAGACCCAGTTTTTTGCAGAACATTGGATATAGACCTTTTGGAAGATCTTCCCTGACTAATGTTTACTTGGTCAAAATTGCTCAAGATCTCAAGAAATTTGATGATTACAGCGTACAATTTCACCAATTTCTCCTTTTTTTTTTTTTTTTTTTAAAGAAAGATATGTACAAAATAAATTAAAAAAATGACACTTGCCACGTGTCCATCGTCGAGTGTGTGGTGAGTTATGAATCAACGGACAAAATATCATGTAAATACCCAAGAGTACAACACCTTAGGTTTACCCTTCAGATCAAAAAAAAAAAACAAAACGACAAAACACAAACACGAGGGTTGGTCGGAGAATAAAAAAAAGAAAAAAAAATTGGCCTTTGGGAAAAATAAGGATTTTTGTATCTAAAGCCTTAGGAGTCTCCGCATCAAGTCGACGTAATCGTGGAAAAGGTAAAATGCCTAAAACCGCTTTTCTTTCTTTGATCTCTTCTTTTCCCCGATTTCGACTTTTTTTTTTTTTTAATTTTTGTAGAATTTCTTGGAGTTCAATTTGCAGTCCTTTGTAACCTTTTAATCGTCGAAAACAGTTGACTTTAAAAGTTTCATCTTGTTCCTTCTTGGGTTTTTTTTTATCTTATTTTCCTCTGAAATTTCATCTTAGGTTTTTGTTCTTTTTCAATGAATAACGTCATTTAGGTAGACTTGAAATCCCATTTTTATAAAGCGTTTTGAAAGATATGTAATTTGGATTAGATATAAAAGTTTTCTTTCTGATGAATTTACTGTAATGGACCTTTTTTTTTTGGCAAGTTTTGATGTGGATTCTGATTTGGAGTTTGGTTGAAGTGTTGCTGACAAGGCCACTTGGCAGGTGCCAAGTTGCTTAGTCATAAGTTTTTAAGTATCAATGTAGTGAAAATGAATTACATTGTAGAATTGACTTTTGATGTTAAATATAAATCTGGGTCTCTCTTCATTTCAGGATCAGTTTTGGCCTCTGCTAGTTCAATAGGCAGGTTTGGTTAGTGCAACTTTTTGGTTGGGTACCATGAGCTTCACAGATCCTTCTGTTGGTCCTGGTTAGTTTATCTGCTTCCCTTCCTCTTACTATAGGATAATGTCTACGATGAGAGCTCATGAACAAGCTTGCATAAATATTTTGATTGTTCTTATTGCAATTGAATAATTGGTTCTTCTTTGTATGGTGGATTGGTATATATGTCTACTTAAGTAGAATCTCTTTTGCAAATTCATGAGGTTGTTTTTTCTCATTGAGTTTAATTTTAACTGTTAACATGACTGGTAGAGGAGCACTTGAGTTTGGAAGAACGTATGTGGTCAGGCCCAAAGGTAGGCACCAAGCGACCATAGTTTGGCTACATGGCCTTGGTGATAATGGTTCAAGGTATTATAAAGTTTGCTCTCTCTCTCTCTCTTTAATTTTCAATTTTTAAAGGGAAAATATTATGTATTTTCTATTTAGTAGATTCTATGCATGTTGAGTTATTATTTCTAATTCTTCCCTTTCCTCAACAATCCAACAAATCTTTCAAGGAAAATAACGATTGCCTGTGTTTGATTTTGTTAATGGCAGTTCTTTTCATGACTTCCACCTTTTCTTTTTCCCCTTCTTGTTTGGCTGATTGCACCAGTTAACTTTAGGTCCCAAGTGTTTGAGGTGTTCTTAACATCTCTATGTCTTGTTTTTTCCTTCTATTTTGGGCGATACCAGAACCATGGCAATATTGCTATTGATAATTATTTTGTAGTGAAGCAGTAAACACCTTCAAGATTAATCTTTCCATCAGAAGCTTTCAGGTATTACCTATCTGTCAGCTTAGTATACCCTGCATATTAATAAGGTGGCTGTTATTTTTTTTTGTTGAATAAAGGGGAGAAATTTGTTGGCATTATGACCTAAATAGAAACCTCCTTTTCTCTACTCAACTTTTGTTCTTGTAGCATAGAACTATTGCTATTAAGGCTTAAATAAGTAGTAGGGAATTAATCTTTGCATGCAAAAGAACCTCTTTCATGCATAGGTGTTTTAGGCTTTAGTCTTGAATTGCTGCTATTTTGCTGATAAGGCTTGCACAAAGCTATGAGTTAAGCTGATAGTAAAGATAATTCTGGTTGATTGTTTTTTTAAGTGGTTTAGTCTTCAAATTGCAAGTTATTGCATCTTCATGTTTCATATCTTCCGACATTAATATATGTTTTCAGCAAGTCTTTTCATCCAACAAATTATATGGGTGCCACTTGGAATCTGAGTTATCCTGCCCTATGAGGTTCCCTATCTTTATGGTCAATGGTCTTGAATATAAGACAGGAAATTCTCAATATCTTTTGAAATATCTACTCATCCTCATTTATCTTTTCATCTTGTTTGGCAGCTGGTCCCAGCTCCTGGAGACCCTCCCTCTTCCGAATGTAAGGATGATTGATTATATCCAAAGATCTTTAGGAGAATATATTCCAACTGTTTACCAATTAATTTATTTTTCTTGATAACATCATAATTTTCCATGCTTGTGATCCTATGGTGCAGATTAAATGGATATGCCCAACTGCCCCTACTCAACCAATAACTATATTTGGTGGCTTTCCATCAACTGCTTGTAAGCATAGTCTTGAAATACTGTAATGATGCAATCTCATATGAAGGAAACTAATTGCATTAAATTTCATATTCTTAAACCTTTAATGATGGTGCATTGGATGCTAATCAAATTGTTGAATTCTAATGCGACATACATCAGGGTTCAATGTGGGTGACCTTTCAGAAGATGCTCCTGATGATATAGAGGGATTGGATGCTGCTGCAGCACATGTTGCAAATTTGCTGTCAACAGAGCCTGCTGACAGTATGTTTCCACTTGCCACTTCTCATGAGTTTTTATGATTTTAGATTTTTTAGGCAGTGTTTTCCTCCTCTTCTGAATATTTAGGTATCAGTGAATTTATACACTTGTATTTTGTTTTATAGTGAGAATTCATGAGAAAGAAAGTTTTATGCCATACAACTACCATTTGTTAGTCTTACATTCTGCTGGATTTATACTTTTTATTTTATTTCCCATGATTTTTGGCTACCAAATGTGAACAATATTCTTTTCCATTTTGGCCATAAAGCAAGAACATGAGAAGAAGCAATGCTGGTTTTGGAAGTCATTAGATTTAGTGTGCCTTTTATTTTCATTTTCTGGTTCTTGTATATGAGCTGGTAGGACAAAGATATGTGTTGTTTGTGGCAGAGTTTTGCTGGATGTACATATACACTTATAATTTGATTAATGTAATTGGAATTCCTCTCTCCAAACTTGATAAATGTAACTGGCCCAGGCAATTCTTTAAACTGTAGGAACAAAGCGACTACATCTCATGTTTGTAATGGCCCAAAGCTCTTACAGTTCTCTCCCTTTATTTATGTTTCTATCTATCTTGACAATCATGGTTTCTTTTACAATTCTTTTTATTTACTGTCATTCCAATTAATGCCTGTAAATGGTGACTACATTTTTAGGATTGGTTTAAATCTCAGTAATTAGTTTCTTGATTAGTTTGGCTTACAACCAATGAAATGTTGCATTCACCTTAGGTTTCAGTTTTAGCAATGAAAGTTTTGTTTATGGTCATTGTTTTTGACATTGTTCTAATGGTAGCTTTTTCAAATTACAGTTAAACTTGGTGTTGGAGGCTTCAGTATGGGTGCTGCTACCTCGCTATACTCCGCAACTTGTTTTACTCATGGAAAATATGGAAATGGCAATCTGTATCCTGCCAATTTGAGCACAGTTGTAGGACTTAGCGGATGGCTTCCATGTTCAAAGTTGGTTTCCTACGTTAGCACCTTCTTATATTAGCTTGATGCTTTCCTCCTCCCACCCCCTTTTGTCTGGTTTATTGTTATAAATTTTATTCTTTTCCAGGACTTTGAAAAACAAAATAGAAGGACAGGATGAAGCTGCAAGACGTGCTGCATCCTTGCCCATTTTGCTATGCCATGGCAAAGGTATTCATAATCAACTTTATTATGCAAATTATCATGGGTTGATCATTTATGCATGGTCATTGTGTCAGAGATGGTGTCAGATTCTTGGCTTTATCTTATACTCTGGTACAGAAGTGGTGCCATGACCATTAACACCATTTATATTGATTAGGAAGTAGCAACATGATATAAAAACATAGTATCCAAATAAAGTAATCTCTGCTAGTTAAGGAATTTGACCAGCCAAATGTTTAGTGTCAACCTGAGTTTAGTTCTTCATAACTAGAAAAGCAAATCCCTGTTTTACTTGATTAGACAAGTATTTGAGGGGATTAAAAGAAAAGTACTGGCATAACATCTAAAATTTCTGCTTTTTGGTAGGGATCAATGAGTTGTAATGAGAGTGGTCCTAGCATTGTATTTACTATTTACATAATTACTGTTGTTAGCTAAATTTTGTGTCCATTTGATGTTATATGGTGCCTTACTGATTTATTAGGCTTGTTGAAGGCAATCAAGGAATAAGGTGTTGCCTATTTTACATAGAGAAGGAAATAGCCCATTGAAAAATGTTTATCCATCCTCAAAAGACTACGATTCTGAAGCCTAAACAATTCTGACTGAAGTGAACATCTCTTTTGGTGTTTACATATTAATAGTTATTTCAAGGACACGAAAGGTCATGTTTCCCAGACTTTCAAGTAAATATTGTCACTATTGAAGCCTAAGGACATGTTTTTGGCACATTTGATAATTAACTTGGCAGCTGCCATCGTTTTTTGAAATTCAGTTTTACTGATATTTAACATGTAGTTTCATGACTGACATCGAGGCTATTGATGATGTTCTTTTGATGTTATTTATATGTTACATGTTTGGTTGCAGGTGATGATGTGGTTCCATATAAATTTGGAGAGAAATCCTCTCGAGCATTGAGTTCAAATGGATTTCAGGACATGAGTTTCAAATCCTACAATGGGTATGGATCTTGACAGTCCTACAGAAGTTGCATGTTTCTTATATATTTGACAATTTATTGACTTGAATTGAGTACTTTGACGATATAGGCTTGGTCACTATACAATCCCTGAGGAGATGGAAGAGGTCTGTGCTTGGTTAACTGCAAAACTGGGGCTTGACGGTCGATCCACATAAGTATGTAATGTGAAATTGTTTTGCATTATTTGGAGGAAGTGAAATGGAGAGGAGAAATTATTCACAAGTTTCAAGTAACAAAATTGAGCAAAATTGTTCTGGTATGGGTGTCATACATGGTATAGTGTACCTTGTTATTTCTCTCGTAGTTGATATTTGCTTAATTGGTCCTGGACCTTGCTAGAACTGTGTGATGGAACACGTGAACATGTACCGATTTGACCATCAACTTGCAGTTTGGAATATTATTATTTGGAATGCAATCTGGATTGTAGATTTTATGTTACTTTTCCTTGCTATTTGGTGTAAGAAAAAGACTCAATGTTTTATGATTGACTGGCATCACTAAGAATGATGTATGTATTTGAGCTCCTGCTATTGACAAGCATGGAGGAACATTTTCTTTGTTTCTTGAAACTATAACTGTCTTTCCAAACTATGTTAGGTGATAATCAATGCACTCCATTTCTTCCAATCTCCAGCTATCTGCTGGAAGTCAGTCGCTTCTAACGTGCTCAAAGTATGATTTGAATGCTTGTGTTTATACAATGTTGGAACTTGTTGGTTGGAAATCCGGTAGCTGAGCATTGGAGCATCGAAACGTGTTTACAGAATGCTAAAGGCCGTTGCCTGAGATAAGAGAAAGAAATTGGGCTGGATGTCAATTATTAAAGATGAGTTACTTCCACCCGATTCTTATTCATAGTCATAGATACCAAGTGAGAATAATTTATATTGTTGAAGAACCTCGTTCAAACTTTATCATGTTCATTGGCCTATTAGTTTTATTTGAGCTCTTAAAATTGCAGCTAAAAATGTGCAGAGCCTGCAAATTATTAGCTGCTTTTTCCTTCCGTAGGTAATTGTCATGGAACTGATATAAAACCCTGATTTTGTATGGTTTTGAGATAAACTTTCTGTCAAAAAGGCTCACAATAAATTATCTGCTATGCCATTTGGCATCCAGAAATTTCATGTAACCACTCATAAAAAACATCATTAACAAACTATATTTCTACTGCCAAATTCTTCTGATTAAATAAAAAAGCAGGAGAAAAAAAAATGAAGACACCAAAAAATTGGAAAGAATATGGGAGAATATTACAACATCCAAATGATAACCATGCATGCAAAATCAGCACCTCGGCTTCCAATTTGGTTCTGACATTCAAAGCAAGTATTTTCGATGACGGCTGGCATTGTAACACCTCTTTTAAGGTCACCTTGCAATCACTTTTGGGCTTCTTTAACAAAAGCTATATCCAAATTTCCATCTTTTGGTGAGAGCAAGTGCTTATCTTGTTCCGTATCATCAATTTCTGTTGAATTGCCGGGGGTGCCAGTTGAGACAGACTCAGCTCCATCTTCTGGAAGCAAGCAGCCAAAAGAAGCAGAAGAAAATACCAAATACGAGTGGTGTCACAATGAGAATTTTGAGTAGAGTAATGGCAGGTTCAACTTTTTAAAAGCAAGACAGAAGAAATAGGAAGCATACCCATTTCGTGGTATTCAGGCAACTGCTTCACTGTAGTTACTTGAAGGCTTTCAGGAAGCAGGCAGCTGCATAAAGAACCTACATTTTTTGACAAATCATGAACTTAATGATTTCCAATGTGTTTTTCTTTTTTTGAGGAAAAAGCCAAATATGGATCATAACAAGTAGACTACATAACAATCAATGACAGGCCTAGTGGTTGTTTTCCCTCCAATGTAGGGTCATGGAACAGGGTCAACTTCTGTCTTCCCTCCCTTGTTCAAACATACCAAAGTAACACAGTGCCAATTTTACGGGCTCCCCTAAAAAAGATCAAAGCTATGACATGATGAATGAAAGAGCAAGGCATTGATACATCCAATGTCACAGACAATTCATGAAAAAGAAAGATATGGTAAGGCAAAGATACACACACAAACACACACACACACATACATACATATATATATATATATATATATATATATATATGCATATATAGAATTTGATAAACAATTGGAAGGATCAACAAACCTATCCGAGCCAGCCGGTTCACCCATCCAGGGATATCTTTGCCTGTCAATCTATGTGCCATGTCATCTGTAAAGTGGTTACAGTTCTTGGAGATGAGGTGGTAGGTATCTCCATGATACTCAGAAGCTATACTCTCAATAAACGCTCTGAATTCAGAGAAAGGCATGCTTGTCTGTCCCAACAAGATGGAACATCGATAGATAAAACCAGGGCAGCTCTTTGGCTCCACTTCGAAAACTCCACTAATTGGAAAATCATGGGCCCCAAACCCATATTCTTTACCATGAACTGTTCATAAATGTTGAGTTAGATACTTCAGTGTTCAGTTTCCTAAATTAAAAAAAAAAAAAAATTGACACAAGAAGCAAATTCAGTTCATATTGTGAAAATGATATCCATATCTCCCTTTAGCCTAAACAACTTGATTTCGAATTGAAATGACTTAATGGCAATGATTTATTCAGCAATAAGCTGTTTTATTTCTTCAAGCATGCTATTTCTTTCAGATATGCTGGTTCCTTATCCCGTCAACTAACAAGAAATGCCTAACCTTAATTCTTATATCCAACTTATGGAACTTGAGTCCTTCACCACAGTTTATCTTCATCTAATCTAAATAATACATACTTGAGAAGGAAACTGAAGAATTTAAAAGTAAAGATGTTATAACTTCATTTAACATATAAAACCCTAATTAAAAGATTTTCAAAAAATAAGAACAAAAACATTCTAAATAGAAAAACACAGCCTCATGCATGCCAAAAATTAGCATGCAATTTTTTTAAACATCATAAAATGTCAAAAAAGAAACATTTCGTGACATTTTATACGAAACTGCTTGTTCTATTACTCCAGCTCATAAAATGTGACCCATTTTCTTAAAACAAAGGCATTTACAAACGCAAACATACCAACAAAGAGTACTGTAAAATAGGATGATGAATTCGTTAGTTAATACAAAGATCATCTAAGCAAGCATCAAAAGATCTCATTTCTCCATAATTCATACCATTATTATATTCCAAATTTCTCCCCAAATAAAACTTCCTTTCCTAAAGAAAAATCCAAGTTAATATTAATCCTCCGCTGCATATTGGAGATGATCACATAAAATCATTTTAAAAGAATTCAGCAAACCCATATCTGTTTTCTGTCAGGGGAAACCACATCCACCATTTAGGAGCAATCAAGAGCTAAAATAACCAATACCCACATCCCAAAAACATACGATAAAACAAAATTTCCATAATAAGAATCAACCCCCCCCCCCCCCCCCCAAAAAAAAAAAAAGAAGAATTCAGGAATAGGAACGAACAAACCTTCAATACCGGAGTGGAAAATCCCGAAACCAACCCAATAAGAATAATTATTGATAGGAGTGAGATCATAGACATTTAAAATCACATTGGTTTCATTGTTATTGCTCACATTTTGATTCCCAGTGCTGGAATTTGAGACTTCCCCTGTCCCCATCTTTTTTTTCTTTTCAATGATAAAAAAAAAAAAGAACAAAGAAAAAGGGGTTGCCAAAGAAAGATTTCCCAAAATCCCCGGACACCTTTTCCTCGTTACTCAGTACATTAAAGAGACCCTCAAAGGGCTTGAAAACTTTTTCCTATGAAGCAAATAGAAAGAGAAAAGAAAGGGAAAAATAAAGCAATGCGGAAATATGGCAAAGACAAGGTGGCTATAATTGTGTCTCCACAGCTTTACAGATAAATAATCAAATATTATATAATTATACATACTACTATTTCATTTCATAGATTATTATTGAATAAATGAGTTTGGTTTTGTGAGTCATAATTTGATAGACCTGAGTTGATGCGAGTTTAGGATTGCTTGAAAATTTGAAGCTTTTTCTTTTCCTACTGGTTTAAATCATCCAAATCCATGCATATTTAGAAAAGTTTAACCATATTGGACTTTTATTTGGGTTTCGTTTTAATAATTATAAATCCATATGCTAATTTTAGGATTTAAAGAGCGTTTTCGTTAGTTTTGAAGCCAAAGGTATTTAAATTTTCCCCTTTTTTAGTCAACCTTTCTTATAAGCCATCAGCCATAACATCATGAAAAAAACTTCTCTTATAAACGCTATCAACCACAATATCATGAATTAAGCGTCAACGGTTCTTAACTTAGTGATAAAATTATTGTTTTTTAGAATATTAAAATTCTAATTTCAAAACTGATTATGTGTATAAATTTAATTATTTAGGAGTTGTTTGGTATTATTATGTGTTTTATATTTTATATTTTATATTTTTGAAAATTTTGTTTTGTTTTATTTTTGGTTTTTTTTTTTTTAATTTAATGAATATGATAATATGTTTACACAAAATGTTTTTATTTTATAAATTTGAAAACAAAAAAATGTAAGAGAAAATAATTAAAGTTTTTAGACTTTATTTGTTATTAATAATATAATAATATTAATATAATAAAATTTATTAATATATTATTTATAAATATTATATTAATAAATAAATATTATATTATATATTATATTATTAATAAATTTAATATATTATATTAACCAACATATTATTAATATAATATATTATTTGTTAATATAATGTATTATTAATAGAATATATTATATCAATAATATATTAATAAACAATATATTATTAATAATATATAAATTATTATTTATTAATATATTATTTATTAATATAATATTATTTATATGATAAATATAATAATATTTATATAATATAAATATTATTTTATTAATATAATAATTGTAACATTACTGTAATTGTTTAATTGTAATTTTTATTAATAATGTCCGTACGATAACAGTGCCAAATATTTTCAAAAACCTAAAAATATCATTTCTTGGTTTTCAACAATTTCAAAAATTTTCCCAAATTATTTTCAAAAACAAAAAACAAAAATAACTTACTAAACATGTTTTAAAACAGAAAATAAAAATAAAAACAAACGACCCCTTAGTTAAATAATAATTTATTAATTAAATATTTAATGATATAATAATTAATTATATAAATATAGTATTTGATTATGAATATATGTTTAAATTTGATTATTTAATTAAATTATAATTTATTAATTAATTATAAAAAGATGTAATATTTAATTATAAGAATACAATATTTGATTATGAATGTAACTTTAAAACAAATATAAGAAATTAAGCAAACAATTACAAGATTTATATTAATAAGGGTAACACTTAGAATTGAAAATTTCACATGCAAACAACAAACAAAGCACATTAAAGATACAATTCATGGTTGATTGTCAGGAGTCGTCCGTCTCCTCAAACGGCGCCTCCAAGGAAATGATCCACTGTCTGAAGACTCATTGTCCTCATCTCTGGCATATCCAGCTTCCCCATCATAGCTTTCCCCCCAAAGTCTGGTAGATCTCCGCCTAATACTCAATTGAGCTCTCGCCCTTGAGGCGCCAGCCCAGCTGCTGCTCCTAGGACTAGACCCTGGCCGAAACACCCGAATAAGAAAAAAGACGGTGAGCCAACTTCTATCATCACTTGGCAAAATGCTGTCATCAGCCCTCTCCTCCTCAATTGAAGATTGCAGTGTGCTGAGCAAGTCCCCAAGGTCTCTCTGACGCTCTAACCTCCTCCAATTTCGCTGTCGCTCAGGGTCAGCCTCTGATGGGCGCAGTGAAGGGTGCTCAAGTCTTGCATGTTTCCTTAGGTCTTTATAGGCACCAGCAAAATCACACGTTTCAGAGGAACAGCTTCTAGATTTCGCATTCATGAAACAACGAGCAGGCTCTACAACAACCCAATCTTTTATCTCACCACGACACAGAGGGCACACTAGTTTTGACAGCCCCTGATTCTCACATGAAACATCAGATTGGTTGGAGGGCCCTTCCTCGGTTCTTTCTACCTGCAAATCAGTGACAGTTGATTCTGAAGTTGCAGTCGCAGTTGGTGATAAGTTTGTTGTTACAAGTTGTGCTACTTCTTGCTGAGAATCTTGTGGTGTTGTTGCTGAGGTATCTGTAGATGACTTACAAAACTGATCAAAACAGTTAGAGTGGCGATAACTTGTATCGCACATGTATGGACGGCACCCCTTCTTATGGGAAGAACATATGAGGAGAACTGCATTGTGAGGATGCTCCATACAGACAGGGCACCTGGCGTCTTCCCATTCCTTTAGACTTTCCTCAGTTTCTGAAGGGAGTTTTGGTGAAGATCGGCGACTACAGCTGGAGCTACATGAGAAGGGAGATCTCCTACACCTATCAAAAGACAAGGAACGATCTCTTCTCTCCTTTGGCATGTTGAAATCTCTAATTTACTAACGCTAATGCTAAATGACTGGACCTTTCAAGAAGGCAGAAACTGAATGATTGAAAGAACAAAACATAACATCAACATTAGCTTTTACAATCAAAGCATAAGATTCAGCAGAAAATGAAATGAACCAAGGCTTACAAGTAAAATAAAAGAAAAAACAGAAGCCAAAAGTACAGATACAATGTATGAAAATGGAAAAAACAAAACTTCACAATTATGGCATAGATGCTCAAGGGTAAAAATATAATAATAATAAATGGGAAGATATTGTATATTTAAAAATGAATTTGCATAACATTGGATAAGCTCTAGCAATAGAAGATAGAAGTCACAAAAAACAGATTCTATGAGCCAAGTAATTGACATTCAATGGCTCTATAAAAGAGAAGTAATGTTGTTAGATGATTTCATGACTCCATTGTAATTCCAGGCAATTTAGGAATTAGTTCAAAATCAGTTTTTAGAACATTTATCTCTCCCATGGCATCATCCTCACAAGGCTGATATTGTAAGAACTGGAACCTATAACAAAGATGAAAATCATCATTGGCTGCAAGCAACTTAAGCAACAGAATGAAGCTCCCCAGAGTCAAGACTGTGGCATTGCTGACAGGCCAAGGTAAAGCCGTCATCTGCGTGACTGCATCCCATCAATGGCATATTTTTTACAAGCAACACTTCACTGGAGGATTATGCGGAACATATTCTAATTTTCTCCCCAACATCAATATTATTCTTCTCGTAGTAATGATAAACCAGTACCAATATTAGTCTTCCATATAATTCCAGAAAAACTCCTTAACCATGGAGAATTTCCCAGAAGTCGAACTTAACAAAATAGTTGGGTTGGTTAAAGAAAAACTCCTGCAAGATTTAAACAACTCAAAATACCTACAATCTAAACCACTTGAATTCAAATGCAAACACCCAACCCCCCCCCCCCAAAAAAAAAAAAGAAAAAAAACCCAAATCCACTTTTCACAGCATCACATGCCACCATATCTTAATCTAAATTGAGACATGTTGCAACCTCTTATTCCATATTCACCAGGCCTCATTCGAATCCAGAAAATAGTTCTCTTTTGAAATTATAACTCTAAAACTCAATGTTGCTTTCCGTCCGTTTGCTTCTTTGAGTCACACTATTATATCAGATTCCAATCACACACAATTTCTTCTCTTTGCATAAAAGCTTACTTCTTACAAACAACTAGAACAAGATCAAATATCCATAAAAAAGATAGTGATGACATAAACCCGAAAGCTGAAAGCATCCACTATTATACCATTCCCACATATCTATATTTATTTTCGGTCAAACAAGATTAACCCGACATGTAGAATTTATCAATTCTCAACACAGAAAGTAAACGATAAGAACATCTCTCAAGTATCCCTAACAATAATAGCACTGGACATTGAAACGCTTAACTTCACATTTCGCAGAATAAGCTCTTCAATTCAACTCTCTTCCCAGCACCAAGTTAATCCAATATGCAAAAACTTAAATTGAAGAGGTGAGGGAAATCGAAATACACAAAAAAAAAAAAAGACAACGATATCGAAGGCAGTAATAAACTAAGGAATAAAATTTCTTTCGGTTCCAAAAATTAACAGATTAAATTAATTTCTGATACAAGAAAAATATTAAGCTCAAAATCCCCAGCCTCCACGCCCTCCCTAAAAAAAGTCTTTCCAAATGAAATAAATAAGCGAAAACGAATGGAATCGAATCAGAAACTCTTAAGAACCCGATCCAGGAAAAACATGATTGAAGTCAATTAGATCCGTGCAAAATCAGACCCTTCGAAACGCGAAAAGAAATGACAATCAAGAGATTTTTTGAATTAGGCAATTACCAGCAACTTCAACTTCGATTCGTCAATAGAAAAAACACAGTGACTGACTTCCGTTTGATTCGGAGGCTAATATCCTTTAAACTAAATCCAATTTCACAGGTTTTTAATTTGGTAATTAGGGATTTGAAAGAGGAAAGAAAATGTGAGGAGAGAAAGAGAAAGTCTCTCCGAGTTTCCCTTTTTGTTTGAGCTCGAAAGGGAAAAAATAGGGGCATCACTCGTATATAGGGAGATGCTGACGTGGACAACTTCGGTTGGCTAATTTTTTATTTTTCGAAATTTGGATGAGATTATTTTCAAGTCGGCGCCGTTTTGGATTGGACGGAAGAGGACTTACAGCACGTGCGGTCTTGGCTTTTGTCGAAGGGCATTATTCAGTTCAAATTTTGAGTAGTTTTTTGGTTTAATGCCTACCAAAATACGATCTCGATATTTAGTACCAGATGAAATTAAACTTTTAATATTTTTTATACAAAAATAAATTTATAATTTTTATTTTATAATAAATATTTACATAAAAAGTTCAATTAATTTAACTAAAAATTAAATTTCTTTATATGAAACAGTTGGTATTGTATAAATAATGTGAAAAATGAAATACTATAATACGACTTTCACAAGTTAATTTTTTATCTTAAAATATTATTTTTTAATATCACGTGTTTATTTATGTTACATTATTCAATAATATTTATTTCATTTATCACATTATCGTGTAATGCAAATATAATTTTTTGAAAATTAATCAATTGAATTTTTTATATAATTTTTAAAATTAATGATTATTTACTTCAAAATAAAATTATAAATTTATTTATATATAATAAAAAATTAAAAATTTAATTCAATTTTATATGTCTTTGGGTAAGCTGGATGTCAAGGCTAATTTGGGTACAGTTGTTCACTCGCTGACGGCTGCGTTTGCAAGTTGCGTAAGAATTTTGCCGACTTAATATTTTTTCTTTTCTTCCGAAGAAACGAAAGGATTTGGCAACTTCTGATTTTGAATTACGAGGAAAATGTTGCTAATAACATTTTAAAACATATATATATATGTATATTTTTTTTCGTCTTAAAATATTTATTATATATTAAGTTTTACAAAATTTAAAAAAATTAATTTTAATGTATTGAGTATTAAAATTTTATAATTTTTAACGCTGAAAATAAAAAAATTATAAATTATAATTTTAAAATATAAAAAATAAAAATTTTAGATAATAAATAAATATGATATAATTTTGAGATATCTTGAAAAAAATAGATAAAAAAATGAGACAAAAAGTAGTTTTTTTAGGCGAATGAAAAGAATATCAACCTATATACGAATATGATAGAGCAAAAAGGAACTGTACCAAAAAACAATCAAAATTTTGTAAGAAGCTGGATTGAAGGCAAAGTTTCATCTTCAACGCTTGGAAATTACCTACCTCAATTTTCCCTATGCTGGTTTTTTTTGTTAGAAAAAAAAAAAAAAGAAACTGACATGTTAACTGCTTAAAGCCTAGCAAATAACAGTTACACAAATGAAAGAACTCTAGCTACCATGCACACAGGTAGCCGAGGATCCCTCATTTTAACAAGGAAGCTATGAGCCAAAGCAGCATCCATGGCAATTGTTGACCTGTTTCGCTGATCAATAGTGCTTTAAATCAGACAAGAAGTAGTTTAGAGAAAGCCGAATGCATGTACTTGCTGCATAACACAAACTTCAGTTGATGCTATACCTTAGATGGCTGGTATGAGAAAGATTTTTGATCAGCAACTGGAAATGTAATATGAGGATTGCAAATCCACAAACATGTGATGTTAATCTGAAAGTTTGCCATTGTCCATATTGAATATCATACTTAACTTGCTCTATATACGAACGCGATCAGGTTGGTGGAATTTACTCCAATCTCAGGTGTCTTAATGTTGTTAGGATTTTGAGAGATTCTTGGAGAAATTTGTGAATCGGAAATTTGGAATGAAGTCATTAAATGCTCACTTTAAGATTGACATGTTACATCAAAGCGTCGCAATATCCTAAACTTCCCCTTTGTTAGATTCTGAAATTCTCGATTTTGATTTATCCCCATTTTACGTGGACCACTTAGATTTCATCTGAAAACAACAAAAAGGAATTTAACTTTTTTATTGCCTTTGAAACATGTCAATCGGATAATGTGACTGAATGATTTGGCTGTTTGTGGGATATAGGATACAGATCGTGGTACGTGAATCAGAGGCCTCCCCACCACTAATTTCTTTGATTGGAAAGCGATTCCATGCTGAAATTGATCCCATGAACACTGACCTTCATTCTTGTTGCCTTTGAAACAGCAATGCCCAGCTTTGTACCTTCCAGCACTTTGTTTCATTTCATGAACAATTATCTGAGCCGAAGAGATGGCACATGCAGGGAGAGTACAATAGACTGGTCAAGTTGCATCTATGCCAACTGACGTGTAATTTCTTTACTCTTGAGAATCCAATTTGAGAAGAGATTGCTACTTTTCTTGTCATCATATACTGGCAGAAATCTCCTAAGCTCCATTAATAAATTCTATATAGATTGCTTCCTGAATATAGAGTGAGATTCTTCTTACAACAAATTCATCAAGGGAAATACTCCATTTGAAGAAGCTATTGATGGAATTACAACTTATGCGATCAAGAAAGTGATTTAGAAATTTCTTGGAAAAATTTTGGAGTTCCCAGCACTTACCCACTTTTCCTATCTGAAAATAGGATTTGCTAATTCAATTGTGTTGTAAATCACATCAACTTAGCAAACATCTAAAGTAGATGCAGTGAAAGAATAGAAGCACCTTAAAAATAAGGGTCCTGACAGCAGCTTGCCGAAGTTGTAATTCTGTTGGAATTTTCTAGCTTTTAGTTTAACAGCTACATCAGGTAGCAGCAGTTCATTTCATTGATCTTGCTTATGACAAAATCACAAAAAGCAGTAAGCAGTAAATCGGATTTATGAATATCTATCATCCATGAAGAAATGAAAAGAACTAGAAGGATTCAATGCCTAAATTCACTTCTTTTCACCAGTTAACACAAATGATAGATGATAGCCAATCTAAAAGAGAATTGTTATAAAGATTTCATACACTTAATTACACTGTAAGATGGCTTCTTGATTTTTTTATTGCCAAATGTCTAACAAGAAGATCTGCTATTATTGCAGTTTATCTTCAGATCACAATGATAGTTGAAATTGAAGGTGTTTTAAAATTTCATGATTCATGAAGCCTTTTCTCACTTATGGTTTGATATCTTCATGTTTGCATATATAGCATCTGCTTTAGTATAGTGTGAATGACTAGGGTCTACAACAAGGCAAAGTCGGTTGGTGGACAAGAAATTGCAATGAAAACACTCAGTAAAAGGTTAGGACAAGGACTAGCGGAGTTCTTTCCATCGAAAGGACTAGAGGATTTCAAATAAAGAAACAAAACAGAGAAACCTTCTGGGACCTTTAGGTAAGAAATTAAAGACACATAACAGCAAATGTTTGGGCTCATTGATTCCCAATTTTTCCCCCAGCTAATAACAAAAGGAGCTCGAACACAAACCTAACCCACTCCACATCCTTTCTTCCCAAACTAAAAAGACTAATTCGGATGATGCTCGTCCCATGTGCCAACAATTCTGGATTTTGCTCTGTAAAATGTAATTCATCAATAACTTATGTGGTTTCAATTAAATAAACCTAGCCACATCATTTATGTCCTGAATTACAATTTGATCCACATTTAAGCGCCCAAAATTTGAAATAGTTGCCGGAAGATAATTATTTACTATTATTTAATTGAAGAAGCCAACTACTAGGCAGTATGGAACCATGTCATGAAAATAGTGTAACAGTGTACATAGATTATCCAGTAGCAGGAATAAGGTTCCAATTCATAGCACAAAACAAATCGCTTATAAAATGGAACACTGAAATACAAAGTAACCAGAGTTGAGACTCTTACAAGTCAATAGTCAGCTGTAACCTTTTCCTAGACAGTTTAGGCAGCGCTGCACCCTGTAATAATCCCATGGGAGAAACCATCAACATAAACAGAAAAGCGTATCCGAGAAGAAAATTTTGAATGGGAAAGAAAAAAAAAGGAAGACAAACCTGTTACCATCACAAGTAGGGCAAACACAGGGGTTAATATGAATTGGATCATACAAAGGTGACCACTGTATTGTAGCATTTCCATTGCACAGCTTACATATGTAAAATCCTTTCCCATTACAAACGCCACAAGGCAAGGCAAGCTTTTTCTACAAAACCCAGAGAGCAAATTGGAAAATTTTCACTCTTAACAACAGAAAAATACAAGAAAACAAGAAAAGAGAAGGTCTTGGCAGATACCCGTTTCTTTTCAGCCACAAAACGAAACGCACCAACGGCAACAGTAGCAGCAAGATTGAGAGTCAGAAATCCTCCAAAAATTATAACAGCGCCTTTGCCCAATACGCCAAATGGCTTTGGGATCATTTTATTTTAACCTTTATAGTGATTTAATTTCTTGCAGGATTTTCTTCGAACGCATTCACTGCATAAGACCCGTCAAGTGTTGCAGCCAAGCGATGAGAGTGCATCTATCTCGTTATCTCGACAACTAAGTACAGGAAATTTTCACTCGTTCATTGTTTTGTAATTGTTCAAAGAATTTCAAGTGAAAACAACCTTTTTGTCCGTTTTCATCTTTCAAACCGCAGCGTTTCAACATTCTCTGTTAAAAGTAAACTAGTAAAGTAATTATAATTTAGAGTTTAGGATTAGGGTTTACGTGAAGATGTAAAATTTCATCTATGTTAAAAAATTTTAAGATTTTTAATAGGTAATATATTCTGCCTTTGTTAAAAAAAAAGAAAAAAAATTTGTTAGTAATTGTTGGGCATAAAAGCAAATCTTGTTATTAATTAAAGAGAAATCATCTTATTTGATAATTTTTTTAATTAAAATTTTTTATTATATTTTTTTATTTTGGATAATTGAAAATTTTATTTAAAAATCCAAAAGAAGCACATACAAGCCTCCTACATAAGCCATGATACTTGGCAGCTCCAAGCAAACGCGTGCATCCTACTTAAACAATATTTATTTCTAATAATAATAATAGTTGTTAAAAAGGAAAAAATTTCTTTATTCGTTAGCTTGATAAAATATTATACGAGGTATCTTATTTATGTAAAAAAAAAACCCTCATTAATTAAGAAAAAATCACATATAATATTGTAATTGTATGGTAATTTTAAATATTATTTTAATTATAATATGATAATATTTAATATTATATTTGATTACATAATTATATAATATTACATTAACATAAATAAACATTCAAACATTCATGAATATTAATGAAAAATTAATAATTTTTTGCTACTATATATAATGAATATAGTAATGAAAAAATCATATTTCCGAAATAACATCTAAAATAAAATGTATTATATTTGATTACATAATTACAGAATCTTACGAAATATTATGTTAACATAAATAAACATCGAAGCATTGAATATTAATGAAAAATTAACAACCTTTTGCTACTATATATAATGAACATACGACGAAAACAACATATTCGAATCAATCTTTTTTTTTTTGTTCTCAATTGCTTAAGTAAAACCCTTGAGATAACATGGAAGCATCACCGGCTAATTCAAGTTGTGGTAGTAACATTGTGGAAGCCTATTTCAAGAAATTAGTTTCTGAAAGTGAAGTTCGTAATAGGCGATTGTATTTGCAGAAGAATGACGTTGACACGATCATCAAACCAAATTTGACACCACAACAGATTGACATCCTTAATACAGCTGAAGGATCCGTGGAAGTTGTGGCGGCCGACGTCAAAACTGGTAATTGCTTCGGGGTGTGCCTGAGGAGCGCTGGTTATGGCTATTTTCTCACTGGAATCTCAGCTATGATTAAGAAGATGAAACTGCAAGCTGGTCATGAGATTTATGTTAGTTGGCGAGATGGAGCTTTGCATATTTTTTGCCTTTAGTTACTAAATCTTTTTTGTTTCTGATATGAGGGAAAAATAGAGTGATGAATTATATTCTCCAACAAAAAAATATATTTAATAAAAGATGAATAACTAATAATATTTATAGTTTCTGGTTTCCATGCATCTCAGCTAATTCTGTTTTTCAAGAGACAAATCCTGAATTCCTGAAGATTATGCCCTCTGTTAACCTGTATGACAAACAGTTCATTGAAATTACAATTCTGATGTTTTCATTGGGTTCAAAACCAGTAAATATACAAACGATTTATAGAAATGGGCAAGCCAAGAATTTAAATCATCATGTACCATGAACTTGTTCTTTCTTTTCCATCATTGATACTTGCATTAGATATGATTCTTCAATTTTCAGTAGATATGTTTCTTCAACTTGTGGTAAAAAAAGGGGAACATTTTGAAGAATCTAAACAGCAAGTCTCCAATGCAGGCAGTGCTGGTATTGCTACTTCCAAGTTTAGTGATTCCATGTTGGCATAAAATAACCAGACGAATTGAAGACAATGTGGATTTGAACACCCCTAACTTGTATTCTGGATTGCTATCTGAAATTGAGAACGCAGAAAAATCAATACACCCATTAAATTCATCTGCTACAAATTTAGCAAGATTTTTTAGTTGGTCCATCGACCAAAGTGATGCAACCTCATTCAATGAGATTGTGACTTAGTTATGAGATTGAGACTTAGGTGTAGTATCCATCTGCATCTTTCTTGATATCCAAAACTATTTCGTTGATTTTTGGAAAAAAAAAAACATACATATACAGTGTGTTTTCCTGCACCAGTGTAAAATAAAATCTTTATTCCCTAATAAGGTACGTCTAATCTTATTTCCTTAAATGGGATATTTTATTCCATGTCATTTTTTTTCCAAATCATTAAAGTAACCGAAATAGTAAAAAGTCACCAAGGGGTTTCTAGTTCTGAGATCACGATCGGTTTACACGCCCACCAAACTTCTAGAAATGCTAATGATAATCTAACAGTAAACGAACATACAAGGATGATACATGGGATGGATGACAGGTTAAACACTACAATAATATTAGGAAAAAGAGAGGTATGTGGTGGGACTCAGGAGGCAACAACAAAGAACAAAATAGAAAATGTTGGGTAGTTGGACCATACAAGGAGCAGAGAGATGATGATGGGCAAAAGGAAACATGGATAGCATGGAGTAGTAGATATGGACATTGATAGCACTGTCAAAAGGAGTAAGCAGGAGGATGAAAGTTAAACAAGCATAACTTCCCATTTTTTGTGGATAGTTGAAGCCTTTTATTCATTTGAAGCAAAATTGATTTCTAATTCAGTTTTCTTTGAAGCAGGTGCTGGAGATCAACACGAACACCAATCCATACATGATCCTCAGCCTTGTTTTTCTTTCTTTCTTTAGTTTTTGATATGTTTCCAATCTTCCCTTTTATCTCAATGAATCAATTTATCCATTTAATTATCAGGCAATTCTCCACCATCCCAAAAGATCAGAACCAATCAATCCGAAAATCAGTCAAGGGTCAGAAGACTCTCCGTCGAAAAGTTTCCTTTGGTCTCGTTGAAGAAATTTAATGCTTGATTTCCATTATTTGTCTTGGTTTGCACTCTGGCCTTGCACCACAGTCATGCTTGTCGATATCCCACCTGGGTCAGGAAGTAAGCATGAATATTAGGCTTTATTTTTGGGATAGTTAAGGAGCAGTGGTATTTTTGCATGGCCACCATGGCTCTGAAAATTCCTTTGTCTCTATCCTCCCCAGCTACTCTCTTTCTATAAAAGAAAAAAAAAAAAAAAACTTTACAGCTCACCTTCTGGTTTAAGAGTGAAGGGTTGAAGGGAGAAAAGTGAGGGCCATGCATATCTTCCTGTACAGTCAATTCCTGATCAACATATGCCTTATTTTGGGGTTTATTGTCAGTTTATTTTGGAACCAGATCAAAAGAGAGTTTTAGTTGATTGCACAGAAAATACTTTAGGAGGAGGGGAACATTGGGAGTTCGTTTGCGATGGGGATTGAAAAATAAATGAAGAGGCATTAAGTATCCGATTTAGAGAAATTAGATTAAAAGTACAGAGAATAAAAATTTTATTTTACTCGACTGAAGAAAAAAGCTCTATATATACATATAACTAGGATTGATTATTGTTGCTATTTCAAGCATTTTCAACAATTCCTTTCATATCACAGATTTCATATGTTGGATTAGACGGTCTCATGTTTTCCTAGTATAATGATTGCAATCGAACTCTATCAACGCACGCTAACTCTTCATTTCCCATTACAAACACCACAAGCCAGGGCAAGCTTTTTCTACAAAACCCAGAGTGCAAAATGGAAAATTTTCACTCTCAACAACACCAGAAAAAAAATAAAAGAAAACAAGAAAAGAGGTCTTGGCAGATACCCGTTTCTTTTCAGCTACAGAGCGACCCGTTTCTTTTCAGCTACAGAGCAAAATGCACCAACGGCAACTGTAGCAGCAAGAATAAGAGTCAGAAATCCTCTTAAAATTATAGCAGCGCCTTTGCTGAATGGCGAAATGGCTTTGGAATCATTTCATTTTAACATTTCTAGTGATTTAATTTCTTACAGGATTTTCTTCCAACGCATTCAGTGCATAACACCCATTAAGTTTTGCCGCGAATTGTTCAAAGATTTTGAAGTGAAAACTGAAAACCACCTTTTTTGTCTGTTTTCATCTTTCAAACCGCAGCGTTTCAACACTCTATTAAAAATAAACAAGAAAACTAATTATAGTCTTTTTTTTTTTTTTTTAAAGAAAAGTAAACTAATCGTGCTATTATTTGAAAGCTAGAGTATATGAGCATTGAATTTTTTTTTTGGATATTTGAAAATTTATTTAAAAATATATAAGAAGCAAAAAAAGTCTGTTACATAAACCATAAAATTTCTTTAATTGGCTTATTTAAATGTAAATTAAAAATAAAAATTTGTTTAAATGTAATTTAAAATTCATAAACTTAATTGGGTGTAATAAAAATATAAAGATTTATGTAAATAAGTCGATAAAGTTTAGAAATTTTTTGTTATTTTAGTCAGAATATTTATATTTTAAAATTTTATTATTAGTAAAAAAAAAGAAATTCTTTATACATTACCTTGATAAAATATTATATTATAATTGTTCTATTTATGTATAGAAAACTCTTATAAATTAAAAAAATCATATAGATATTGTAATTATATCGTAATCGTAAATATTATATTTATCATAATATCATAATCTCTAATATTGTGTTTGATTATATGATTTTATTATATTACAAAATATTACATTAACATAAATAAACATTATGACAAATTAACACCCTTTTGCTACTATGTATAATGAACATAGTGACAAACAAAGCTATTCTGAATATTTTTTTTCTCAATTGCGTAAGTAAAACCCTTGAGATAACATGGAAGCATCACCAGCTAATTCAAGTTGTGGTAGTAATATTGTGGAAGCGTCCTTCAGGAAATCTGTTTCTGAAAATGAAATTCGTACAAGACGATTATATTTGCAGAAGACGCGATCATTAAACCACATTTGACATCACAACAGATTGACATCCTTGATAAAGCTGAAGGGTCTGTGGAAATTGTGGCGGTCGATGGCAAAACTGGTAATTGTTTCGGGGTGAGCCTGAGTAGCGCTGGTTATGGCTGTTTTCTCACAGGAATCTCAGCTATGATCAAGAAGATGAAACTCCACGCAGGTCATGAGATTGATGTCAGTTGGCGCGATGGAGC